TGGAGTTTGGAGCGAATGTTGATGGTGTGAAGTCAGCAGGGCCCGCTCTGGCAGCACAGAATGGAGCCTTTCCTCCCTGCTCCAGGAGGCATCAGCTCTTAGGGGGTGATGGAATTGTAAAATCCTGGAATGGTTTGGGTTCAAAGGGAATTTAAAGCCCACCCAGTGCCACCCCTGCCATGGGCAGGGACACTTTCCCCTATCCCAGGCTGCTCCAAACCCTGTCCAGCCTGGCCTGGGACACTGCCAGGGATCCAGGGCAGCCACAGCTGCTCTGGGAATTTACTTCTAGATTTCTAATGTAGCTTTTACTGTAAGAACTGAACTTCCTTAGTGTATCTATGTCTCAGCCTTTCCTGACTGGTAAGTCCAGCTGTTCCCGCAGCGATTCCCAGGCTGGGAATGTGTGCTGGAGGTGGGAGCTGCAGTGCTCCGAGCCCAGCGGGGGCAGCTGGCAGCAGGGAAATGCCCTGGGAGGGCAGCAGGGAAATGCCCTGGGAGGGCTGTGTGGTGCTGCTAATTCGGGACGTGCTGTGTGTTTGGCTCCTCGCTTTCCTGGGAGTTAAGAGAAGAGAAAGCAGTGGTTCCCCTGCCACCCTGAGGCACTTGTCACTTGTCGACTCCGGTGATCCCCCAGGAGACGGGGAGGAGCTGAGGGCAGGGCTCCTGCCAGGCATTGGCTGTGCAAGGGGTTGTGCTGCTTGGGGATATTTACTCTGGGAACAGCTGTGGGAGCAAAACACACCAGAAGCGTTTCCTAATCTCGTTCAAACTCCAGAGGCCAGGCTGGGCCAATCCACGTTTCCCTGGCAGATTGATAAGATGTGCCCTGCTGACAGCAGGGGACAGTGCCCGGGGCAGGTGACAGCTGGGGCTGGCACCAGGCCGTGGGCGTGGGCAGCTCGCAGAGGTCGTGCCGAGGAGTCTGCCTGCAATCCCTGTCCTGCTGCTCTTCCCACAGGTGGTGTTCGGGCGGAAGCTCCCGTCCTTCTCCTCCATAGCCCTGCAGCAGCTGCAGCATGAGAAGAAATACGACATTTATTTCATGGATGCTGAGGTGTACGGGCTGTACAGGTGAGCGCTGGCTCCTCCCTGGAATGTCCCCAGCACGTGGCAGGAAGCGCTGCTGCGGGAGGGCGGTGCTGTGCTTTCCTGGGATGGAGCTGGGACATGAGTCACCTGCTGTGCAGGTGTTTTTGGCCAGGTGACAGCCTGGAGCAGGGCACTGAGCCCTCAGCAGCTCCTCAGGGCTGTGCTGTTGGATTCAACACAACGCACAAGCTTTGTTCTCCCAATAAATGTCATTTTTGCCATCTTTAACAGCAGCAAACTTGCTGAAAGCCTGCCCGTTCCGAGCGTGGCTGCTGTGGAAATTGATAAAGACTTAATTACTGTTACAGTTGTAATTACTGCTGTGCTGAATAAGGACTAGCCAAACCCAGGTGTGCCAAGTATTGCATGAAGAGTAACAAAGTCTTCAAACAAAGATCTTAATTCTGAATGGGAGGGGGAAAAAGGTGAAGTGGAAAAACCAGTGCAGAATAAAAACGTGGCATTAGCATCATGTTCTACAAATATTTTTCATAATAATCTTAATTGGGAGGGTTTGAGATAATGGAGAGAGGAGTGGAAAAAATGAAGCCGTGCAGGCAGTGGAACCTTTTCCTTGGCAAGTTGGGCATTATGTTCAGTCTGATTTGGGCTGAGAATGTAACTTTGGCTTGATATTTATGGGAATGAGGGAGTGGGAGTCTCCCAGTGAGACCAATGCTCAGCTCTTCTGGAAACCATTGTGTGGTGGGGTTTTGGAGTAGCATTTTTCCCTCTTTTCCTAATACAATTCCTTAATTTCAATTTATTTCTCCCCACTGTATTCCTCAGTTTCTGACAGTGGGAAGTGTAATGGAATTGGATGTGAATGCTGCAGGAATCTCTAGTAGGGGAATGGTTTGTTTCAGTTTTCTTAGTTTTGCAGTGACAATGTGGCTCCTGCTCTGTGGCTGCTCAGGTCTTCTCCAGCAGTTGGAACCTCGGTGTAGTTTGATTCCATCCTGTTCCTGCCATGCAGCAGAATTCCTGCAAAAAGCAGGTCACACCCTCACTGCAGCTTGCAGGGGCAACCTTAAAGCTGGAGCCTTCTGCCAGGGATGGAACTTTTGTGTTTTGCTAGAGGTGCTGGGGTGCTGAGAGGGAATTGGATCACTTTTGGGAATCTCTCTCGTCCCTCAGGAAGCTGCTGCAGCACGAATGCCCCTTGTGCCCTGATGCAAAGCCCTTCAACACCTTTGCAGATCTGGAACAGCACATGAGGAAGCAGCACGAGCTCTTCTGCTGCAAACTCTGTGTTAAACACCTGAAGGTGAGCTGGGCCTCTGCTTGGATGTGTGGGAAGGAGGGGAGTTTCCCTCCAGGAGTTCCTGGGAAGATGGGAAGGCAGAACAGATTTCTTTAAATTCCCTCTTCCTGCAGTGAGGCCAGCTGCTTTATTTTAAGCCTTTCTCCTTCCATAAACTGATTAATGAAGAGGGTCTGGAGGTTCTCCAGGTTTTAAATTAAACCCCACGGTGGTGGTGCCGCCACAGTTGGTTTGTGCCAGGTGAACTGGAGTTTGCTGCCAAAAGGGATGGGATCCAGGAGTGAGCAGGTTGACCTAAATGAACCCTAATAAGCTGGGGAACTGAGCTGAGTCTTTCCTGTGGTCTTGGAATTCCTGGAGCTGATTGAAAGGAAGTGGGAAAGGAAGGCAGGACCTCCTTTGGTTTCTGGTGAGATGCTTCATGCTTAGGGTATGTATCCAGCACTGAGGGCACTTGTTTGCCATTTTCTCTCACAAACAATATTAAAACTGTTGCTTTTTAATTTCAGAATACTGTAGAGATTTTTATTTCAAAGAAAAAAGTCACGTGTTACTCGTACCCACTGAGAAGAAACTTGTGGAAGCTTCAGTCCATCAGCCTTGGCACAGCCAAACAAATCTTTTTCCCAGAGCAATTTCCCAGTCCTTGTCTAGGCGAGGAAATAAAGGCTGGGTTGATTTTTTGGCATCTCCAGAACCCTTCCTACCAAAACAGCTCACGAGGTAGTGGGGACAGAGAGTTGGCTTTTGTTCTCTGAAGTGGCTCCTCTGTGTGCAGCTATTTGGGGTGGTAACTGTGAGAGGAAACTGAAGCAGCTCCCTTGGGGTTTCTAAGTTTGAGAATGCAAAGTACTGTTTGTTCATAAATACATAGTTAGGCTTTTTCCACTCCAGAGATTATAATTTAAACTTGTTACAGCATAAAAAGATTCCAAATGGAAAAAAAGTGAATTAAGTTCATTTCCAGTGTTCAGAAAAATGTAAGTTAGATTTAATTTGAATCAATCACTTGAATTTTACTTCCTGGCCACCAAAAATTTTAGGTGTTCGTGGTCAAACTGCATTTTCTTGAAGCAAGTCTTCCACCCCTACCGATGGAGAAGCTGGACACAGCCTGGCTTGTTCTGTTTGGTTCTGTGTCCATAGGAAACAGTACAAATCTATAAATACCAATGTATTAACACAATACCTGCTCTCCAGATCTTCACCTACGAGAGGAAATGGTATTCCAGGAAGGACCTGGCCCGGCACCGGATCCACGGGGACCCCGATGACACCTCCCACCGGGGCCACCCCCTCTGCAAGTTCTGCGACGAGCGCTACCTGGACAACGACGAGCTGCTGAAACACCTGCGCAGGGATCACTACTTCTGCCACTTCTGTGACTCTGAGGGGGCTCAGGAGTACTACAGGCAAGCACGTTATTGATAGGAGTCCTTTTTCCAGCTTAAATTTCCTTTTTCTAGCTTAAATGTGGAAGTAAAATTCCTTGGGTGTGCTTTGAATTTAGGGGGTAAGTAGTGTTTGAAAGTATTTGTCATATACTAGCGACACAGGTGCAGTTCTAGCAAGCACAAGGCCTACACTTTCCCAGGGTATTTTCCCAGGGTCTGCTAAGCCTAACTTTCCTTTTAACTCCCCAAATCACCATGATTTTAAAACCCTTTTACTATCATGAAGTGTTTGAACTCAAAATGTCCCTCAGACATTTTTGGAGGTTCCAGGCCCTGGTCGGAGGCAGTTGAGGCCCTGGCAGGCAGCTGGAAACAGCTGTGATTTTGGGTTTGAGCCATGGAATGATTTGCCAACTTTGAAGGTGGAACAAGGAGTCAAAAAAATTTAGATATTATAGTAAAAGTAGTTACAAAGTTACAAAGAGGGAAGAATTTTTTTAGTACTGTACAAGGGTGTTTTAACACCCGTACAGGGGGGTTTTTACTTTGTACATGGGGGTCAGAAGTTTTGAGATGGAGGAATGTAGACCGGTCCTGTTTCTTCTCTTTCTTCATCCTTACCTCCATGTTCTTGATGTTGGCACTTATGGATTGGTTTAGAGTAGAAAAGCACCATTTAATATAGGTAGTAGGTATTAGGGAAAAACTGTAAACATGTAACACGTAATGTACGTATAAAAGACAGCAGCAGCCCTGGGCGGGGGGAGAGAAGAAGAAGACAGCAGACAGAGAGGGTGTCAGGGTGTGTGTGTGCCTCTGCCTGGGCTGCTGAGCAAACCACAGCAGCTTGAGAAGAAAATATTTTAGATAGCTTGCAATAAGCAACCATGAGATCAAACAGCAAGAGGCTGCAGAGTTTTCTTTGGAAGCACGGGTTGGAGGAGAGACTTTACCACCACACAGAACCCCTGAACCAGGCCGGGGTTCCCACAAGGAAGGGTCAGCTCTGTGTTTTCCCTTCTAGTGACTACGAATACCTGCGGGAGCACTTCAGGGAGAAGCACTTTCTGTGCGAGGAAGGCCGCTGCAGCTCGGAGCAGTTCACGCACGCCTTCCGCACCGAGATCGACTACAAGGCCCACAAGAGCGCCTGCCACAGCAAGAGCCGCGCCGAGGCGCGCCAGAACCGCCACATCGACCTGCAGTTCACCTACGCCCCCCGGCACCCGCGCAGGACCGACGGTCAGCCGGGCACCGCCGTACCCCGCGGGCAGGCAGGGGCACCCCGAGGGTGGGCAGGCACAGCTCCGTCCCTGAAAGCGCCCACGCTTGCACGGGGCTTGGAGCAGCCTGGTGTGGCTGGTGGGAGGTGTTCTTGCTTAGGAGCAAGGTGTACTTTGAGGTGCCCCCACCACCCAAACCATTCTATGGCTCTTATTCTCTAAGAGTTTTCAAGAATCCTTGGTGAATATTTCATAGCCACAAAGAAAGTTTTCCCAAAGAAGGTAGACAAGCCCTGGAACAGCACCAAGAGCTTGTAGAGGTTGAGAAGGCCTCTCCAACCCAAGAGTTTTGTAGAGGTTGAGAAGGCCTCTCCAACCCAAGAGTTTTGTAGAGGTTGAGAAGGCCTCTCCAACCCAAGAGTTTTGTAGAGGTTGAGAAGGCCTCTCCAACCCAAGAGTTTTGTAGAGGTTGAGAAGGCCTCTCCAACCCAAGAGGTTGCAGAGGTTGATGATAACCAGAACTTGCCCACACAAAGCCCTCTGACGTGGTTTCAGAGCTGGCCTTGCTTTGAGTAAAGGCAGGTGATATCCAGACATGCTTTCCTGCCTGAATTGTTGCAGGATTTTTTCCCTGTATGTGAGTTTAATGAGGACAGGTAATTTTAGGAGAACTGGTGATTTGGTCATCAGAAAGAAATGAAGTTAATTTATTTGTACCGGTATATTTTTGCATTTTTCAAGCACAGTGTGATGCCCACACTAGAGAAATAACCGAGAGTGATCGTCCCTTCTCCTGTTTTAGGTGTTGTAGGTGGAGACGACTACGAGGAGGTTGACAGGTTCAACAGGCAAGGGAGGGCGGGCAGGTTGAGCAGCCGAGGGAGCCAGCAGAACAGGAGAGGCAGCTGGAGGTACAAGAGGTGAGTAGCACAACCTTGTGTGGAGTTTTACTCCCAGTTAGTCTTGGCTTTTACCTGCCAATTCACAATATTTTGGTGGATTAGGAGGAAGGAAGTGATACAAAATTTGGAAACCTCCATGGTGAGTTCTTAGCTGAGAGCTTCCAGTCCAAGCCTATGTCCTGGCTATATGCTGGGTCATCATGGAATTATTTTATGTGAGGTTTCAGCTCAGGAAGCAAGCAATCAACCCTCAACTATTGGATTAAATTCAGTCAGAACCCTGAATTAATTTGTGCAGCTGTTTTTACGCAAACTTCTCTAAATAGGATTTTCTGAAGTAGGTGACAAGTCTGTGCAGGTTTAATGGAGTTTTTGGTCTGGGTAGTCATGAAATTCCTGTTCTAAGGACCATGCTTTTCATTGAACTAACAGATCTCTGTGTGGCCAGACTGAGTGCTTTGGAAAAGGAAGAGGGTTAAGTATTGAAATTAAACTTTGCATTTCATCCACACCAGACCTGAGTGCTTTTTACATCCTGCACATCTTATTTTCTTCTTTTTCTCGCTGGACGGGCAGCTGGTTCATTATTGGTGATTCCATGGGGGAAGAAAAAGTCCATCCCAAAACACTCCTCTGTTGATGTCGCATGTGGATCGTGCATGTGTTGAGAGTTCATGCCCAGCCATGTCTCAGAGAGTTCCTGTGGCCTCCAAGAATGATTCCATAAATTTGGAAATGAATGGGAGAGACAGGTGCCCCCTGCATCCTTGGTACTGTCTCTCCCTGTTCACCTCGGTTTCTTCTGGCCTGGATTGTTATTCCCACACATGGAACTTGGAAATCCAGGGAGGAAATGTTGCCTGGCTGGGGTGGATTGAGTGGTGGGGCTGGTTTGTGCTTCTCAGCAGGTGGCAGCACGAGATCAGGGATGTCACCGCAGCTGGCACCGCAGAGGTGAGATGCAGCGCCGCAGCTGCTCCCTGATCCTTGCTGTTTGACCAAGGGAGTCTGCCCTGTCCTGCAGGGAAGAAGAGGACAGGGATGTTGCAGCAGCAGTCAGGGCATCTGTGGCAGCCAAACGTCAGGAGGAGAAGAAGAGGGTGGAGGACAAAGAGGAAGGCAGCAGCAGCAGGGGGAGAAAGGAGGATTTGAGGGATCCTGACGTGCTCGGCTCCAAGCGTGTGCCAAAGTCTTCAAACGATGTCACAGGTGAGTGTTGGACAGGGCATATCAGTGTCTGGAATGTTCCCTCAGAAAGTTCTGCATTACCCATGTTTTACTCATTTAGAGTATAATGAATTTCCTGAATGCCATGACATAATGGGCAACACAGTTAATTGAAGGAAATTAAGTGATGCATGGATTTAAATTGTTCTTCTGGAATGTCAGTTAATGGCATCATCAGCTGCTGAAAATAGGCCTTGGTGATGCTGCTGTCACAGCCATTGATAGCCCCTGCTCTGGAATGAATGGGTTTGGGTTGAAAACAATGTCTTTGCTCTTTCTGTCCCCGTTCCAAAAGAAGCAGCGGCTAACGGAGCGCTCAGCCAGGAGGACTTTCCAGCAATCGGCTCTGCAGCAGGACCTCTCCCAGGGTGAGTCTGCAGGGCTGCAGCAGGGACAAAGCACGTTTAGAAGCTGATTGATGTGTTCTGCATTTCTGGGGAAAATAATTTTCCAGGTCGTTTGATCCTTCCAAGGTTTCTCCTGCCCCATCCCTTCCTGCCTGGATCTGTTTCTGTACTGCTCACCAGCATGAGCAGCATCAGGCATTGCTTCAGCTCCTGGCTTGATCGTAGAATCACAGAATATCCTCAGCTGGAAGGGATCCACAAGGATCATCCAGTCCAACTCCTGTTGTGTCACCCTAAGTGACAGTCTGAGGAGGAGTGGGGAGTTGTGCGTTTGTGCTGTCCCTTGGGGCTCTGCTGCCTCAGTAACTCCAACCCTCTCCCTTCCCCACAGCTCTGCCCAGCCAGCACTGGTGAAGCTCAAAGAAGAAGATTTCCCAAGCTTGTCCTCCTATGCAGCTCCCGCCATCTCATCAGGGATGTCTCTGATGTACACGGCCACTGCCAGGAAAGCAGCCTTCCAGGAGGAGGATTTCCCAGCCCTGGTGTCCAAAGTGAAGCCCACCAATAGGACAGTGACTCACATCTCATCTGCATGGAACAACGGTTCCAGTAAAAACGTGGTCAAAGCCATGAGCAGCCCCTGTGTCAACCAGCCAGCCAAAAAACCATCCTTGAACACCTCCAAAGGAAGTAAGAAGAGCAATAAACTCTGTGAATCAGACGACGAGGACGGCAGCGGTGGCCTGACCACCCAGGAGATCCGCAACACCCCGACCATGTTCGACGTCTCGTCCTTGCTGGCAGCTTCTACCTCACAAACTTTTACGAAAGTGGGCAAGAAGAAGAAGATGGGGGTTGAGAAGCAGAGTCCATCCTCCCCACGCCCGCCCCAGGAGATGCTGTTGCCCAGACCAGCCACAGAGAAGCCCCTGGAGGCAGAGCAGCCCTGCAAGGTGTTCCCTGCTGCTCACGGCCCCGACAGAGCCACCGCTGTCGTCAACGGGCACTCGGAGAAGCCATCAGCTGGCTGTGCTGCACCCAAAGAGCCCCCCGGCCTTAAAAAGCCCCCAGTGACTAACAAATGCCCTTTACCTCAGGAAGACTTCCCAGCTCTTGGGAGCTCAGGATCAGCCAGGATGCCCCCGCCACCAGGTAAGCAGGGAATGAATCTCAGAGTCATGGATTGATTTGGGTGGGTGGGACATTAAAGACATCCCATTCCACTCTCTGCCATGGGCAGAGGTGCTTTCCACTAGACCAGGTTGCTCCAGCTTAGCCTTGGACACTTCCAGGGGTGGGGAAGCGCTGCTGAGCATGGCCAGCTTTGCTTGGGGAGAGCCCAGAGAACACAGGGATGTGTTGTGTAAACTCCTCCTGACTCTCTTGTGGTTCTGCCACCAGGTGCAGGTTGGGCTCTGGAGACAGAGGCAGCCTGGGCGTCACAGGGGGGCTGGAATGTCCTCTGGGAATCTCCTCTGCCCCACAGCTGGAGGTGTTTGCTCACTGGGAGTGGCTCATGGATGTAGAGCTGGTGTTTCCCTGTCCCCAGGGCTGGCACATCCGTGTGTTGCGCTCCAAGATCTGCCTTGGAAGCCGCTGCAGGCAAAGGGAATCTGGCTGCGTCCTGTCCCTGCTGGCACTTGTCACTTCACTTCTTCCTGCGCTGGCAGAGTTTTCCTGCTGTGCTTTTAGCCGTGACCTTGTGAGAGCAGGGAGACAGGAACAGACGTGACCTGGAGTGGTTTTCATGGCAGTGGGATCCCATCGGGAGGCTCCAGCACCGCTGCTTGTGCAGCTCCTGCTGGGGGAGGCCAGGCTGGGCCTGCTGCCTCCTCCCGTGCTTTGTGTTCACTTTTATAATGCAAAAGTGTTTTTCATTGTGACTCTGAGTGGGCTTTCAAAATTATTTTCCATTGAGAAAGTAAATGAATAATTAAAGCACTTTCTCCGTAGAGGAACATCAGCCACTCTCAAGTGCTTCTTGAAGATATTTTTTTAGGTTTTCTCTAATATAGTGATGTCTGCACTGCAGACTCTTGGTGCTTCTGCAGAGTGTGTCAGGCACTGGTGTGGGTTTTAGCCAGGGGTCTGTGAGTGCTCTAATTCCTGCCCTTTCCCTGCTTCCCTCAGGCTTTAACTCCGTGGTGCTGTTGAAGAATCCTCCTCCGCCTCCGGGCCTGTCGGTGCCTGTCAGCAAACCCCCCCCGGGCTTCGCTGTCATCCCATCCTCCACCATCTCTGAACCCATCACTACAGCTCTGAAAGAGTGAGTCAAGGGCCTGCCAGGGGCTGTGGGACACCTCACGCCTCGCTCGTGTCACAGGGGCCCAAACAGCACACAGGGGGTGGCTCCAAGCGGGGCCAGCTGGGGGAAGGTTCCCCTTGGCAAGTCCCAGGGTTGGATTCAGGAGAAGTGCATAAAACAGCCCTGTGTAGTTACAAGTCTGAGGAACTGCAAACCTCTGTAATGTTTTGGCTGCTCAGACCTTGGTCTAGCCTAGATTTATTTGGGAATCTGCAGCTCCAACATATTCCTGTACTTCCCATTGATTCTGGGAGAGTCCCAGCAGCAGGGTGCTGAGGCTTGTTCTCCTTGGTGACCTTCACTGCTCTGATCTTTCCAGGAGCTGCTCTCTGGTTCCTTCTGGATAGAAAGAGGAGTTTTGGGAAAGGGGAAGGGAAAACTTTGTGTCAGTTTATAGAGAACCTGCATTACCCATTGGTTTATTCACTGTGAGGTCTTCGCTCAGGTCTTTTGAGTGCACCCAGCTCACAGAGCAGCTCATCAGGACCACGTTAGACTTGGATTTTAAACATTCTGTTTGTGTAAGGCTAGAATCTGATATGGAAATCCCGTATTTTATTATCCTGACAAGACAACTGTGTGCTGCTTTTGTGTAGCTGGGAGGAGGAAGGACGTGCATCTGTAAACCAGAACAGCCTTGTGATTTATGTCCCAGGACATCTTTGTGTGACACAAACCAGTGTCAGGGTCACTTCTGGTCTTTTCCACACAGGCCAAAATCCTGTCACGGATCATACTTGATACCTGAGAACTTCCAGCAGAGGAACATCCAGCTCATACAATCCATTAAAGAATTTCTTCAGAGTGACGAGTCCAAGTTCAATAAATTTAAAACTCATTCTGGACAGTTCAGGCAGGTGAGTGGGTTCCCAAAGCCTCCCTTGCTGGGAGGCCTGAGTTCTAGTGAGATTTTTAATTGATAAATATTAATTTTCCTCCGATTCTTGCCCTTCCCTGTCCCCTGCAGGGGCTGATCTCTGCAGCTCAGTATTACAAAAGCTGCCGGGAGCTGCTGGGGGAAAACTTCAAGAAGATTTTCAAGGAGTTGTTGGTGTTGCTGCCAGACACAGCCAAGCAGCAGGAACTGCTCTCTGCTCACAACGACTTCCGGATCAAGGAGAAACAAAGCTCCAACAAACCCAAAAAGAACAAAAAGAATGTTTGGCAGACGGACTCCCCCGCCGACCTCGACTGCTACATCTGCCCCACGTGCAGGCAGGTGCTGACCCAGCAGGACGTGGTGACCCACAAAGCTTTGCACATCGAGGATGAGGAGTTCCCCTCGCTGCAGGCAATCAGCAGGATCATCAGTTAGCTCTCCCCAGGGCCACCAGCCAGGCTCTGGCTGGGGATGTGCACTTTGGAACGAGGTTTGGCAGTAGCTGGGGGCTGGTGCCCTTGAGGCAGTGAGGAGCAGGTGACTTGGGAAGCCCTCCTGGGCAAAGGGATCACGGGAATGTGCCAGAGCTCGTCCCCACCGCTGCCCGAGCTCCCAAATCGGGCTGGGGTTAGGCTGAGCTGCAGGGGGGGCAGGCAGGCAGGGCTCCTTCCTCCTGGAACATGCAATAGCTGGGAATCCTTTCAGATCTGCAGAATGCCAGGGGACACAATAGGGGGACAAGCTTCTGGTTTGGGGGTTTCTTTCTGGTTTTGGGGTGGGGGAAGTTTATGGATCACTGAAATGAATGGAAGTGGCTTCCCTTATAACATTCTGATTTTTTTTGTGCTATTTCAGTGAAGATCACACTAGTCAGGGGTAAAAGGTGCAAGAGAGTGCTGCTCACTGGGGTGTGTGACCAGGAGAGCTGCAAACACTGGGCTGCAGAATTTCCCTTTCTGCAAACAGAGTCAATTCTGCTGCTTGAAGAATTGGGCTGATCTGTGCAAGATTTGAAGTTGCCTCTGACATTTTCTGTAAAGTTCTTTCAAGAAACTGATTTTGTAGCCCTGCATGTACAGTAACAGCATTAAGGCTTTACTCTCTGTAAAGCACACGAGAATTTTATTTAATGACTGCCATGTTTCTAATTTCTTGGATGTATTACTGGTGGGAGCTCCCAACAGCATCCTGGGACATTAAATGCTGCTGATTACTGACCATGTTTTCTGCAGTGCCTTTAAGTGCATTTATCTGTTTACAGTAGTCTGACACCTGCACCTCCTTTTGCTCCTGTTCCTTGGCACCCCCAAATTCCTCCTCAGAGGAAGAGGGGGATCTCTTCCTCCTCTGAAGTGACTCCTCCAGCAGCAGCTCTGAGGTGATGGAGTGCCAGGAGTCCTCCCTGGCTGTAGTTCAGTGTCTGATTCTCTCCCATCTCCAGGTTTAGTTATTTCTAACGTGTAGGAATAAAGCTGACGTTAATTTTTGTAATTTGTAGTGATGAAACAAACACAGCTTTTCTAGCATCATCATTTCTATCAAATCAAGCTCAGACTATTACCCAAGAGCTACTCCTGCCTACAGCCACTCTTCCTTGCCTTACATGTGTTATTTTTGCTTGCTCTCAGGCTGCAAAGTGCTTTGGGTTTCTTTTCTTGAATATTTAAGACTGTTTTGACCAGCTGTGCACATTGGATTTGACCCAGAAGGGGCTGGGGAGGGCGATTTGGGTGCAGGAGCCCCTGGCAGTCCCTGTTCCTGGAGCTGATCCTGGCCCCTGAGGGGGCTGGGTGCTACCACCGCTTCCAGTCAGCAACTCTCCCCATCCCTTTGGTTTGTAAAATTCAGGGAGTGAAATGTCTTCCCTGCAGGAGCATCTTCTGTCTTCCCTTGGGTTTCAGTTATTTCTCCAGCAGCAGCTCTGAGCTCCCTGGGAGGTGCTGCTGGGAGTTCCCTCGAGCTGCTGCACCTCTGGGGCCTGATGTTGCAGTCTCCTTGTTCCTTGTGCTCACCTGATTCAATAAACTTATTACCAAATCTTTTTTTTTTTCTATTCATTTTTAGCTCTTTATTGAAAATAAGTTGCAGTTGGTTACACAGACACCGAAAATACAGAATCACAGATTGTTCTCTCAAAAGATATTTTTATGTATATAATATATACAAAATTGTAAACATTTTAAACTTATTTCCATACACAGTCCACTTTATACTACACTGCACAGAGGTTAGTGACAACTGCAACTCCTGGAAGCGTCTGCTTGGACAGAGGTATTGGCAAAGAAACTGAACTTCCCGACCCTCAGGTGGAGATTAAAACTGAAAGGAGCTGAGGTTTGAATGTGTATTGCAACAAAATCCAGGCAGCTGAACTGGGGCTTCAAGTTGAGGCAGTGAGGGCTGAGCCTGAGCCTCACTGAGAGGGGAGAGGGGCTTGTGACACACACGGAGGCAAAATGCAACTGAGAACGGGACCAGGGGGGACCAGAGGGGACCAGAGCCACCTGCTTGGGGACAGCATGGGCTGGGAGGACTCTGTGAAATACACAGGAGCTTTTACTGAGAAATACCCAGCAGTTTTTACTGAGAGAAATACCCAGCAGTTTATTGAGAGAAATACCCACTGCACGGGAAAATGATGGGATTTCCTAAGGAACAGAGCCAGGATGGGAGGGGAGCAGAAATGCTGTGGGTGTCACTTTTTGTTGTGGCGTGAACTGATGGGAATCTCATCCCAGTGTCCAGGCACCAGAGCAGTGAGATCCCAAATGTGCTGTCCTGTGAAGGGAGGGGTTTGCTTTCCAGCCCCTGACACACAGCAGGTAATCAATCCACAGGGGAGAATATTTTTTACAGAACATCACTTAAGCAAAGCTTCCACCTTTGCTAGGAACAGCTCGAAATGTTGGCAAAAATTCCAAATCTTTAATTGTGCTTGAGGTTACTGAGAGCAGTGGTGGTGTGACAGAACCTCCTGGAGCAAGAGGATGGGTGGGGCAGAACGCAGCCCCAGGAAAGGCAGAATGCTGGAATTCTACTCTTTACACCCAAATTTAGTGCTAACACTGTGCAGAAGCTTTTGGGCTGGGCTGAGCACAGCTGTGCCCTCTGTGAGCTCGAGGTGCTGCTGAGCTCTGGGGAGAACAGAGGGCTACAAACAGCTTGTGAGGATGGCAGAGCCCTGGCACGCTCAGGACAATCCTGGCATGCTTTTGGGACAATTTTGGGACAGCCCTGGCGTCCTCTTAGATGTGGCCTGGGTGGTGACAAGGGGGTGAGTGCTGCTGAGGCACAGCTGCGAGAAAAGGAGGAGAAAAGAGGAAAATGGATGCTCCAAACCCCTGAACCCCCAGCACCCCACGCTTACTGCAGCCAGGGGTGTGTTTGGTGACAGCCCCACTGTGGGGACACCGGGAGGGCTCCCAAAGGCTTGGGGGCAGGATTCCAGGCACAGGTGTCACCCAGGGCTCCAGCTGCACCAACAACCCCCAGATGGGGTTGGCTGAGGTGGGTGAAGGCTTTCACCACACCAGGAAGTTCGGGGCTGTCCCATCCTGCCTGGTGACACGGCCTTGGGACATGAGCCCAGCGCTATTCCCTGGAAAAACGCTCCAGCTGTGCCTCCTGCCTGTCCCAGCTGCCCGTCCAGTGCCACCCCAGCACGGTGCCACCCCTGCGCTGCCTGGCACCGGCGCTTTGGGCGCAGAGCATCGGGGCTCAGCTCCCCCCGGGTGCCTGTTGAGTGCTGAGGCTGGACAGGTTCTTTATTCCCAGCTCTGGTTAAATCAAGGAGCATCTCCTGTGCTTTTTGGGAAGCCTCGGGGGCACCCAGCCCTCCCTGCTGCTCCCTGCAAGGGGAAGGTGACCCTGGGGAGCTGGAGCAGCCCTCGGGAAGCAGCAGGAGTTGTGCAGGAGTTGTGCTGGCGTGGTCCCTGCGTCCCTGCTGCTGCTCCCGAGGTCAGAGCGTGGTGGGATGTGCGTGTGGGGGCAAAGAAAGGCAATGCAGGCCTGGGGGGGACATTCAGAGCGTGTAATATTCAGCACGGGGGGCACACGGGGCAGGACGTGTCCCGCAGGCAGACACAGCTTTAGCTCTTTACGTTTACACGGAAACTCTGGAACAGTAATATTATAGTTAGAAAAAATACACTGTACCCAACGAACATTATCTCACATACAATCAATTTAAACATTTAAATTGATTATAATTTTGCTAAAATATTAACACAAGTACTGTTTGTGCTGCTAAAGTTTCAGTGTTCCCTCTAAGGAAAGTATTGCTACAGTTCTACCGTACCCTGTATTAAAAGCCTCGGGGTTTTTTTTTCTTTCCCAGCAAAACCGACTCCACAAAACCACAAAGATCTCGGAATTCCTTGAGGCTGATTCTGCACTGGGGTGTCCGTGGTCAGGCACCTGTGAGGGGCTGGGCACAGCCAGGACCTGGAGCCCAGGCAAGGAACTTCGCCACCGGCAGTGACCTCTCGGGGTGATTGGCTGCTTAATTAGTGCATTTATCTGCTGCTCATTAATTAGCGCAGCGGGAATGAGCTGTGGCCGCGGCTGTGACCAGGACCTGTGGCAGGGAGGGGACAGGGGTGGCTATTGCTGCTCAGGAGGTCACAAGGCAGTGGTGGCTTTGCCGAGCAGGCGAGGCAGGAGCCCGGAGCCCCCAGGGAAGGAGCTGCCAGCCAGGGACTGGGAATTCAGTGGGGATTGGGAATTCAGGTGGGGATTGGGAATTCAAGTTTCAGCCCCTCTGCTCAGCCCTCGGGGGCACAGCCTGGACCAGCTGCCACACGGGCAGGGAAAGCTGGCACAGGGCTGGCCAGGACATGCTGGATTTTACACATTCTGTCCTTTTCCTGGCTCTTTGCAGCTGAACCCCCAACCTGAGCCTCCTTCCTGGGTGGTTCTCACTGACTCTTCCCACACCATTTCCAAACCCGGGCTGTGAAGCCTTTCCAGTTCCCTGCTTGAGTTTTCTGGAGGCTGCAGGGTGACACAGGTGTCCCCACCCGGGGCTCTGCTGCAGCTGACAGATGGTGGCTGCTCCCAGAATCAAAATACAAATTCAGTATTGCTCCTAATGGCCTTGGATGTCGAGTCTGAGCCCCTCGCCTTGGTCCTCACCTCTCCGGGGTGAGGACGTGTCAGCGCTGCCAACCAAAATTTCCTCAGGAATTTACAAATTTCCCAATCCCCCATGAGGAACCAGAACCACAAAGTGCCACATTCCCACTGATCACAGGCTAGCCCCAGTTAGCAACCAGCTCCTGCTGGTTTCCTCTTTCCAACAGTAACTTTTGAAACCCTCAACCAGAACCTGTTGAAGCGTAGAAGCCCTCTGGATGCTGATCCCAACCCCGGCCTGCTGTGCCCCCTCTGTTCCTCTGAACCAAGTTTGGAAACACCTGTTTGGATATTTGTTTTGTGCAGCAAGTATATACAAAGGAAAACAACACAGACACCACTGATTTCCCTGTGAATTTGGCACTTTCCTGGAACCTGCACTGGAAGCTCCACAGCGGGAGCAGCCAGGGCCAGCTCCCCCCACCGCCCACCCACCCTCGATGGATTCTGTGTTAGCTCTGGAAGAACGAGATAAAAATTCCTCAGCTGCTGTTTCCTAAGAGGAAAAGGTGTCCTGGGCTTTGCCAGCAGAGCTCGGAGGGGACATTTCCCCCTCTTCCCCGCGTGTGGGTGATGCGGTACCAACCTTCCTTCCTCCTGGCTTAGAGGGAACACTGCTTTTAGAAACCCTGGGACAGGTAAGACAAGAACCAATACCACTGTACAGAATTCACTGCACAACGAGCTAATAAAGGGACCCGGCACTGACTGGCCACGGCAAGGAAACGGGGCTGGGGACATTTGGGAGCGGGCGAGGGTGGCACCGCCGCGGCCCCTCAGTACGCTGGCACTTGGTAACCTTTGGGGTTGGGCTCTAAGGTCTCGGTGAACGGGGGGCTCTGGTAGGTCTCCGTGCTCTCCACGCCGCTGCCGCCGGGGTAGGAGGCGCTGGGGTCGGTGCCGAACTGCTCGGTGGCGAACAGGGACATGTCCGTGCCCAGGCGGTACCGCTGCAGCGCCCGCAGTGCCAGCACGACCTGTACCCGGCGGGGGACAGGTCAAAGGGGCAGGGCTGCCACCGCACAGCACCCCCGGGACCCCCCAGGAATCCCCCCAGGACCCCGGGTCCCCCAGCATCCTGCGTCTCACCAGCATCACACATTAGCCCAGCACCCCATGTCCCCCCAGGGCCCCAAAACCCCGCCAGGACTCCATGTCCCCCCAGGGTCCCCAAAACCCCCAGGATCCCATGTCCCCCCAGGGTCCCCAAAACCCCCAGGATCCCATGTCCCCCCAGGGTCCCCAAAAACCCCTAGGACCATGAATCCCACCAGGACCCCATGTCCCCCCAGGGTCCCTGAAACCCCCAGGACCCCATGTCCCCCCCAGGGCCCCAAAACCCCTAGGACCATGAATCCCACCAGGACTCCATGTCCCTGCATGATCCCCCCAAAATCCCCAGGACCTTGAGTCCCACCAGAACTCCTTGTCCCCCCCCAGGGCCCCAAAACCCCTAGGACCATGAATCCCACCAGGACCCCATGTCCCCCCAGGGTCCCCAAAAACCCCAGGACCTCGAATCCCACCAGGACCCCATGTCCCCCCAGGGTCCCCAAAAACCCCAGGACTTCAAATCCCACCAGGACCCCATGTCCCTGCATGATCCCCCCCAAAACCCCCAGGACCCCATGTCCCCCCACGGTTTCCCCAAACCCCCAGGACCTCGAGTCCCACCAGGACCCCATGTCCCCCCAGGGTCCCCAAAACCTCCAGGAGCTCGAATCCCACCAGGACCCCATGTCCCCCCAGGACCCTGCAGCCCTCTGGAGCCCACATGCCCCCAGGACCCCACATCCCCCATCTCTCTGCCCACAGCAGCACCCCACAGGCTGCCACCCCTCTGCGTTGTACCCCAGAGCAAATCCAGCCCCAAAGCCCACCCCAACACTCCAGAAGCCATTTCTGAGGGACAGGGTGACCCCCGGAGCTCTGCCTGGGGTGGGGGGCTCTGGCCGTGCACATCTGGCACTGCTGGCCCAAATAAACACATCTGGTGTGGGGAGGGAGAGCTGCTGAGAGCCAGCCCAGGAAAATAGGTCAGTTCTGCCGAGGCTCCTTCACCCTCTTCCAGGTTGCTGGAATTGAGGCTGCAAAGGGTGGGAGATGTGGGCGGCAAAGCCGGGAGGGCTTTCGTTCCAGGAGGTTTCATTAACAATTCAATTAGTTGGTAAATGACGCTCTGAGGAGGCTAAAAAATGCCTATAGAGGGCAGGAATGGCTTCCCAACCGTGCTGGCCATGCTTTGGGATGGGACAGGGTGACAGTGGTGTCCCCACGGCCCTCCCGGGGTGGGGGCAGATGCTGATGGGATGGGGAACATCCCACCCACTGCCCTTCCTCGCCAGCCGGGATGGGGCAGAGCTGGGATTAAAAGAGATTTCTTGGGATCATCACAGAGCAGGGAGCAGATCAGGTTTGCTGCTGGAAACCTGGTGCTGCCTTTTGCCCCAGTTCTTGTGAGGCAACGTGGAATTAGGGCACATCCCGGGGCTCTGTGCCCAGGGGAAGCTGCAGGAGGGATGGAGGTAACCCAGAGCCATCCCTGCCCTCTGCACACACAGCTCTGGGGCAGGAGCCCCCCGGGTGGGCTCCAGGTGAGCCCCAGGGTCTCACACAGCCCTGGCTGGGGTCCCTCCTCTGCCCAGGTGGAGCTGGAAATGGGAGAAAGGGGGGTTTAGGAGCCCCTTCTCCAGGTGGACAGCAGAGGGGCCAGCCTGGCATGTCCCAGGAGGGACCTGATGAGCCTGAGAGCTCCCAAAATCCCCAGCCACCCCACGAAGCTGCTCGGGGCAGAGATCTGCTCCTGGGGGCTCTCTGCCTCCAACGAGGTCCTGAAATCAGGGGCAGCTCGTGGCTGGCGACACTTTTTGGACAACAAAACCTCCCATCCTCGGGAGAAAGGGAAGCCTGGAATTCCCCAGGCAGAGGAGACAGAGCTGAGGCTCCTCTGGTGAGAAACCACCAACCCACAGGTTCCCCAGTGCATCCCCTCACTGCCCTGCAGGATTCACTTCTGCAGAGCCCAGCCTCCCCCAGCAGCCCGGGCGCTTCCAGCCCTGCTCTGCCCTCACCCAGGCGATGATGGAGAAGAAGGAGAAGGCGATGGCCGCCCGCGCGGCGTCGGCGCCCTGCGAGAAGCCCCTGGTCAGCGTCGTCCTCTGCCACTGGTTTGCCAGGAAGCAAAAGGCCACAAACCACAGGAAGGCCATGAAACCTGCAGGGGGACAGGTCGGGGTCTGAAACGCAGGAACGCTCGGGGTCTGTGAGCCAAAGGTCGGAATCAAACCCGGGGTTTGAGCTGAGACCTCAGGAAAGGCTCCCAAACGGAGCTGCTGGAAGTGAGAATGTGGATTTGTGGTTTAAAGCAGAGACACGTTAAGTGGGGGAAAGTTTAGAGTTTTAGAGTGTAGCACTGTAAGTTTGTGTGTCATACAATGATTAGCTAAGAAAGCTCCCACTGTAGCATGGGTCCATAAGACAAAATATGTAAGGATTGGGTCAAAAGCATGAACATCCTTGTTAGCAGTGTTTTATTGGTTAATAAATCCTTAAAAGGTCTTATAATTAAGATCTTGTGACCCTTTGAGCCATGCTGTGAAGATGTGAGCTGAACTCACCCTTCCTGTCTATGTGGAAGATAAGAAAAACAAATCCCATCATCTAAAGCAACTCAGAGGTCTCGAAAACATCCCCAGCTATAAAAAGAGAATGCAAATTTCCACACTAAAAATTAAAAAATAAGACTCCTCAGACTTTAAAACAGACAGAGTAACCCGAAAGTTCTTTCTGTACTTTCTGACAAAAACTAAGTACAAGTGTAACTAGCTGTAAATATAATGTAAAATCAACAGAATGAATATGCATTAACCTATTGTAAAATTCTATGCATATAGAAATGTATAAGAGTAATTAAAAAAAAATCAAGAATTCTCAAAGGTATGCATGTCCATCAAAGGACAATAAGTCCCAACATACGTCCACAGCACTATAAATAAACATACCCATTCCCTACAAATCTTTTATTAAAATGATAAAATGTAATTTTTCATCCACGTTTCACCACGGAAGGAATCCTTCCTTCACAGAAAGGATCAGCCCGGTTTCCTTTCCTTTTCCAAATGACAGACAACTTCACCAAGCACATCCAGTCCTGCCACCAAACCCACCCAAATCTCTGCATAAGCATTTTCACTTCCCTTCAGGACAGGGAATGTTCCAGCATTAAATCTGACCTCAGCCCTTTAACTCAGGGCTATTTTCTGTTCCCCTGCTGTTCCGAGGGGCTTTCCCAGCACCCTGCCTTTCCCAGTTCCCACCCCTGCATTTGGAGCTCAGCTGTCGCTCAGAGTCACCCGGGGGTAGTTTGGAAGTTAAAAACCCAGAGGTGAAACAAAAGCAGCTCCCAAAGGTTAATTCACAGCGTGGGAGCAGCAGGATGGCTCAGGGACAAGGCTGGGGACAACAGGGCTGGCACAGGGGACACAGGGCTGGCACTGGTTAGGTTCAGGGACAAGGCTGGGGACACAGGGCTGGCACAGGGGACACAGGGCTGGCACAAGGGACACGAGGCTGGCACTGGTTTGTGGAGGGGAAGCTGTCCCAGGGCACCCCAGCCCCGGCTGCACAGAGCTGCTCCTGCTCTGCCCCAAACCCGTGCACAAAGCTGCTGAAACCACCTTTGCTCTCGGTGAGCCCGAGCAGGAGGTGTGGGCAGGTAAAACCCCCAAGATGTGACCACCAAGCCTCACCCCTGCGGGTGGCCTGACCAAACCTGCCTCCAGCTGCAGAGTGAGGACACAGCACTGTCCCCAACCACCACATCTGCCTTCCTCAGTGCCCACGGAGCCCACGGCTGCATGGGGCAGCTCCTCTGGCACCCACGCTGTCCCCAGCCATGGCACATGAGTCGTGTCAGGCCACAGGAGGAGCGGGGATGACCCGAGAGAGGAGGGGCAGGGCACAGCAGCGAGCCCAGGGAGCAGACCCGGTGTAAGAGGCCGTCTGAAGACCCTCACTCATTTGCCTGCCGACTGCCACCAGAAGGAAAACCCCCCTGCTGCAGTTCCAGCTTGGAGAAGGCAACAGTGCAGGTGCAGCCGCTGCACCGTCACGTTGGCTGTTCCCAATGAGGCCCAGCAAGGACTTGGCAAGGACTTGGCAAGGACTTGGTGACGACCCGGCACAGACCCAGCACAGGGCAGCTGCTGCAATTCCTGCTTCACTCTCCACCTTTAAGCCAAATGAACTGTTGGGGTGACTCTGGTGGTCTCTCACTGCAGACCCCTCACCTGCCTCATTACCACCGTGACAGACAGAGATCAAGAACCCTCTCCCCAAGGACTGAGACTGAGACCCCTACCACAGGGAGTGGGGGGAGAATGACATGACCTGTTCTTCTCCAGTAACTCCAATGGACTTATTCATCGTTGTGTTTGTTCAGCCTGGATGATTTTCTGTAGATACACCTGTTCCCCCCACAGCAATTTCAATAGACTCCCATTGTTCTGCATGTTCCCCCTTTTTCCTCTGTGGACTATAACTGGACCCCTGGGCTGGGCAGAACTTTAGGGACTCTCCCCAACACAACAAGACGGATCCCCATGGTCGGGACCAGTGAGGACCTTGCTTGTGTTGGCAGCTATTCCCATCCCCCTCTTCTCTCCCTCTCTCCCTCTCTCTCTCTCTCCTTTTTATTTCTTTTCTGACCCCACTATCACATTTATTGTTCTGGCCCCTAATAAAGGTGCATTTGCTGTGATTAAACTGATAGTCCCCTGCTGTTTGTCTTTTGCACTTTGGGATCGCTAAGGAACCATCACGACACCCCCTACCAGCGGATGGTGACACCTGAGCAGAGCAGGGCAGAGCAGGGTACCTGAGAAGCCCAGGTCCAGCAGCACGGCCCGTTTGCGGTCCTTGACGCTGCTGATCTGCTGGAAGTACAGGTCCACCACGAAGAAGAAGATGCAGCCGAAGAAGGCGATGACGCCCACGGCGATGCCGTAGCTGCAGGCGCTCTCATTCTCGTTGAAGATGCAGAGCAGCTCAGGGTGCTGGCTGTCCTTGTTGACGTAGCACTCGTTGACGATGGAGCCGAACACCACGATGGAGAAGATCTGCAGGAGCAAGGAGAGGAGCACAGGTTGCTGCTGGTGGTGTTTAGCTCTGCTGCCCAACAGCAGCACCACCGGATTCAACCCCGTCCTCCACTCCATGGCAATGTGGCATTTCTCAGCCACATCTCCTCTGGTTGGTGGCTCCAAACTGCACCTGGGTGTTCCTCCTCTGCCAGGTGGAACCTCCTCCTGCCTTCCAGCGCCCTGCTGGGCAGAGGAGTGTAAGAACCTGCTTCTCCAGACACGCTGGGGAGGGGAAAAATACCCAGATGGGGCAGGTCCCTGCAGAGACTTAGTGCTGTGCTGCTCTCTGCTGCCAGGCTGGGCCCCACAAAGCCCCTGGTGTCCCCAGGGACAGGGGATGACTGAGAAGCTGAGCCAGGGGAGGGCTGGAGGCTCTCACAGTCGCCTGTGCCACCTCCTGCAGCTCCCAGGGAAGCTGTGTCATAGAGCAGGGGAAGTGGAGCAGAACCCATGGCGGGCAAACCACCCCCAAGGTCCAGCCACTCTTTAACGTAACACTGGGACAGACCTTCTCCTCTTCCTCCTTTGAGAGTTCACCCACGGCCTGGGGCCCTGTCCCACATCCATCCCTGGCCCTGAGCACCAGCCACGAGCTCAGGGGCCACCCAAGTCACCCTGTGGCACCTGCACCCTGTTCCTCGCTGGTGCTGTGCTTGGGGAGCACTTGGGATGGCACAGCATCATCATCATCATCATCACCATCATCGTCATCACCAACCATCATCACCACCATCATCACCATCATTATCACCATTGCCATCATCACCGTCACCATCATCCACATCACCATCCTCATCACCATCATCATCATTACCATTGCCATCATCACCATCATCATCACCATCACCATCATCATCACAACCATCATTGTCATCACCATTGCTATCGTCACCATCACCATCATCACCATCATCCTCCTCATCATCATCACCACCATCATCACCATCATTATCACCATTGCCATCATCACCATCATCATCATCATCATCATCATCACCATCCTCATCACCATCACTTCCATCACTATCACCATCATCACCATCATTATCACCATTGCCATCATCACCGTCATCATCACCATCATCATCACCATCCTCATCACCATCACTTCCATCACTATCACCATTGCCATCATCACCAGCATCATCACCATCATCCTCATCAGCATTCTCATCATTGCCATCATCACCATCATCATCACCACCATTGCCATCATCCCCATCAGTGTCCTCATCACCATCATCATCACCATCCTCAACACCATCACCATAATCATCACCATCATCATCATCCTCACCATCCTCATCATCATCATCACCATTATCATCATTATCATCACCATCACCATCGCCAACATCATCATCATCATCATCATCACCATCATCCCTATCATCCTCATCACCACCACCATCACCATCATTACCAAAATCCTCATCACATCCTCATCATCACCATCATCCCCACCATCACCATCCTCACCATCCCCACGCGCAGGACAGGAGGGGCCGTGTGTGAGGAAAAAACAACAACAAACAGCACTCATCGTTTTCCAGGGCTTTGGCAGCAGCTGTAGCATCAGCAGTTGTAAAAATCTGCTCATAAATAATGCAGAATTGGTATTTACCATCAGAAATAGCAGCAGCGTTTATGAAACAGGCCCTGGGAAGGAGTAATGTGGTTCTGGAAAAGATGAATAATTGAGGGCCTCTGATTCCACGCCATTACTTCTCTGGCAGGAGAGCAAACTCGTACTCGGGAAGTTCCACTCAGTCCTCCAGGATTCACAACCTTCCCCGAGCTGCTGGGAGCCTGCTGGGAGCCCTGAGCTTTGGTGGGTGTTGCCCTCATTTTTAACAGTGTTAAGTTTTCTTTTAGAGTTCTTTTTGAAAGTTTTAAAGTTCTCATAAAACTTCTTTATCCTTCTGATAATGTTTATATATTTGAGAGTCAGAGTTCCCACACAATTTCATGTGTAAATAGAATAGTTTACAGATTTCTCTGTAAATAGAGAGAAATGATTGATTGATCTTTGGAGCAGTGTGGTTGGAGAGGTGGTAATTCCATCCTCCAATTCACAGTCACCTTTGGAACTTTATAATTACCAGATGTTTATATAAAATAAAACTGGGTCTTTTTCTCTTTTGAACTTCCCAAGCTTCTGTGTATTCATTTCATGTCCAATAGATTTTTTTTTTTTTTTAAGGATGTTTTAGCACTTAACTTCCAAAGAATTTTGGAAAGCAGAGCATCCTTCCTGCTGCCACACAACCCAAGTGGCTCAAACCATGAGAGCCCCACAACCAGATTTCAATGTACAAAGCACAGCACACGCAGCTTTTCCTTGGGAGGCCAGAGGAGCAACGAATTCCAAGTGCACCTATTTAATAGATGAGTTCAAAAACATCAGCACTGCTTGGAATATTCCTGTCAAAACGTGCCTTTCCACGGGTTTCCTTTCCCTCACCCCAACATTGTGATGTTATGGTTTTTCTTAAAAAGCCCACTGGTGCTGGTGAAACATTTTAATGAGAATAAATTTGGTGTTGTCTTTCTAAGTATAGATGTAAAAATGCTTTTATTTTAGGAAAACGTGGGTAGATGAAATAAATGTGGGCAGGGAAATAAACCCACAGAACAAGTGCATTTTCCCAATCACCTTCACAAACCACAGTGGCTCAAAGCCCCAGCCAGCTCATCAGAGATTTGAAAGAGAAAATACAAGGTCAGATTTTCCACTGCCAGAGAGCTTTGGTGGGCCTGAGCAGCGCCTCAGAGGATTTGCACAGGAGCCTTCACAGGACACTCCATTTTCCAGCTGAACAACCCAACACCACCAGCAACAAATTCTGCTTTTCCTGGCTGAGCTGGTGTGAGGCACAGTACGAAAAATGGATTGTCCCCAGCCACCACCGTGGTGGGAAATCGCATTTTCCATCCTTGCATCCTGCCAAAGCTGCCACGGGGATGTGCTGGGAGCTGGGGGGCTCCTGGTGTGGGGGTTCCTGAGTGCTGGGAGCTGCAGGAGCTGCAGCAGACCACGAGTGCTGGAGCCTGCAGGGGAATGGAAAGAGGAAATCTCTGCTCTCCCATCCTTTCCATCCAGAGCTGCACCTCACCACAAAAAGGAGCCTCAGTCCCACCTGGGGGGAGCTCAACATGGGTCAGGAGCCCTCAGACCCACGGGGACATGGGGGGGCTGCTGGGGCAAAGGGAGCTGGGGTTCCACCACGCCAGGCAGGAACTGGGAGCTCTCTTGGTGATGAAAGCCAGCAGCCCAGTTCTCCCAGTTTGAAGTTTGCTGCCAAGCAAGAAGAGACACCTCTGCAGGCCAGGCAGCATTTCTGTGACACAGGACAGTGGTCAGGACAGTGGGACAGGACAGTGGGACAGGACAGTGGGGCAGGACAGTGGGACAGGACAGTGGGACAGGACAATGGGACAGGACAGTGGGGCAGAACAATGGGGCAGGACAGTGGGGCAGGACAATGGGACAGGACAATGGGGCAGGACAGTGGGACAGGACAGTGGGGCAGAACAGTGGGACAGGACAGTGGGACAGGACAGTGGGACAGGACAATGGGGCAGGAAAGTGGGGCAGGACAGTGGGGCAGGACAGTGGGACAGTCTCTCTGCTCAGAGGGTGGGCAGGCCCTGGCACAAGGTGTCCAGAGAAGCTGGGGCTGCTCCACCCCTGGGAACTTCCAAGACCAGGCTGGACAGGGCTTGGAGCACCCTGGGACAGTGGAAGGTGTCCCTGCCATGGCAGGGGTGGCACTGGAGGGGTTTTAAGGCTCCTTCCAACCCAAACCATTCCAGGATTCTGCAGTTCTGCTGGACCCTGGTGTGTTCATGGACACACCTTTCAGGAGTGGACAAAGCTGGAGCTGTGTCTGCCCTCCCTCCAGCACATTTTTGCCATCTGGAGGGTGCTGGCTGGCCAGGCTGCCTGCCTTTCTTCTGGAGTTGTGCTCTGCACATCCCCGTTCCCTCCTGAAGCTCCAGCAGCCCGGACCCCAGCGCACACACAGTTTTCCTCCCCGTTGCTTTCATCTTTCTGCAGCCCATCCCCTAAAATGTGCTTCAGGAGACCTCAGAGCCTGAGCAGAGGAAAACAAGAAGCAAATAAGAGAGGAGAGCAGGAGCTGAGCGCTTCGGTGGGAGCTGTCAGCCATTTTAAGGTGAGATGTTTCCACTGCTGAGGAGCTGCACTTGCATTTGGGACCTATAAAAAACAGCAGCAGAAGGTGTGGGGTTGGAGGAGCCTGCAGAAGCCAGCTTGGACTGCACACACATTCATGTCAGCATGGAGGAGATGCAATGCACGAGGGAAAAAAACCCAGAGCTCAATTGTTCTGCCGTGGCTCCCGACCAGCAGAGCTGGGCACAAGCCAGGGGTGCAGAGAGCCAGGCCAAGCCCTGGGCATCCCTCAGTCCCTCCTGGAGCCAAACGCCTCCTGCTCAGCTCCCTGCCCTCCTGGAGCCCAGCGAGGGAAGGAGTGTGGGAATCCAGAGCTTCCCTCTGGCTGCCCTGGCAGGTCTGGGACCCTGGCAGGGGTCAGGAACCCCCCTGGACAGAGCCCCCAGAGACACTGTCTGTGATCTCTGTCCAGGGAAAAGAGTTTTCAATCTTACAGGATGAATTACCAGCTCTGAGTGTTTGATATAAGGAATAATTAAGTGTGACACGGTTTTAGGTTTCTAGATGAGGGGTCCAAAGGGAACAAGATGGAGGAAATTGGGTGTGCCTTGTCCTTTTCCTCCTTCTTCATGCCCTCCATGTTTCACTGTGGTGTTGGCATTTTTCTGTTGGTTCAGGCTGGGGACACACTGTCCAACGTAGGTGACAGATATTGGCACGTTATTGTAAATCCAGCACAGGTAGTTTGTGGTATTTAATGTTTGTCACATCCCACTGAGGGCAGAGCCCCACACGCTGCCCTGCAGGACAGAGCTGCGGCAGGGCAGCAGAACATGTTAGAGATAAACAGAATAAACCACCTTGAAAACAGCACAGATGAATTATGGCTTCTGCTTTGGCAGCGGGGCTGAAAGACAGAGACTTTCTACAATTTTGGGATCATCAATACCTCAGATTCCGACAAAGGAGGGACCACCAAACGAGAAGGGAAAACAATTCAGGCTGAATCAGCACAGGCCAAATCCTGCTCAGCCCCTCTGAGCCCTGTGCTGTGCACGGGCCTGGCACAGATCCTCTGCTCAGGGTCCCTTGGCACGGGGGACAACCACCCCCAGCTCCCTCCCCAGTTTATATTTACAGCTGCCAGCCACAGGGAAGTTTCCAGCACTGATCTGCACCGTTTTGGGAGGCTGTGAAGCCCAAAGCTCAGCTTGAGGCAGCGCCAGGTCTCCCAGGGGACCCCGAGATGAGCACCAAGGGAAGGCCTGGCTGGTTTCGAGGTGTTCTAGTGCTGGCTGTAACAGGTTTAGGGCCACGGCCATCAGGCTAAGCAGCTTGGGAGGATGTCTGTTGATGACCACATGACTGATTTTTCCTGAATTACTTTTTCTGATGTGGTAGGAGATGCTGGCTGAGACACAGCGTTCATTCAGGGTTCCTAATCTCGTCCTGCAATCTGAGCACATGGCACACCAGCAGTGCTTGAAACCAGAGCTGACAGGAGCATGGCAATTCAGAACCATTTTAAGCTCAGACGCAGCAAAGCTCCCCTATAATTCCATTACCAAAATGTTGCATTTAATTTCTGCCTTTAATCCATCGCCTGCAGAAAGAGAAAATTAAGGCAGAAATCTGATGACCCTTCTGAAAAGTGGCCAGGAGCAAAGTCTGAGGCAGCTCAGATCAGACTAATGACTCTGGGCATTGCTGGGGGCTCCTGGAGTGCCAGAGCAGCCTTGGAGCTCTTCCCTAAGAGCCCTGAGTGCTCAGGAGCCACTGAAACCCCTGAGGAGCCATCCAGAGCCTGTTCCCTGCACTTCTGCTGAGCTCCAGGGAGGCAGAGATTGGGGTGGGATGGGATGGGATGGGATGGGATGGGATGGGATGGGATGGGATGGGATGGGATGGGATGGGATGGGATGGGATGGGATGGGATGGGATGGATGAGGGACCCGGCACTGCACTTCTGCTGCTGCTCTGCATGAAATCACATGAATCGCTGAAAAATTTTACCAGAATATTTTCCAAAACTGCTTTAAAAAGCCAAACCTAAGCCTATGTTAAATGAACAATTGCCCTGTGAAGCTGAGTGGCCACTTGAAAGTCTGGCTGGCACGGGCAGTCACAGAGAAAGGAGCTCATGATTCTGCAGGCACCCGTCATGAATATCGACTCTGTTTGGCTGTGCAAAAAATGTCTCAAAAGGAAACCACAAGAGCGATCACATCTTCATCTGACAAACTGCATCAGACAGAGAGGGAAGAGATGAATGAGGAACTGTTAAATGGTTCTTTCCAGCTTTTGATTTTACAGCTCAAGCCAGGAGTGGATTTTTCCCCCTCAGATACTCTGAATTACTCTCTCAGGAGGTGGCAGAACCAGGAGTCCCCTTTGGGCACCGCTGACATTTGGGGATTTCTGTGTGGGTCACCTGCTAGTCCCTCACATGTCTGTGCCAGCACAAGGTCCCCCAGGCAGCCACCAGAGTCCCAAAAGGGAACTGGAGCTTCCTTTGGTGGTGGGAAAGCCCAGCAGTGGCCACCAGCCACCTCAGGCACCTGGGGCTGGCCCCAAATCCCTGTGGGGTTCCTCCAGCACCCCCAGCCACCCCAGCCCATCGTGGCAGCTCTTCCTTTGCCCACCAGAAGCTGCCACCACGCATGGGGCAAGGCTCCTGTCCCTGCCGTGGGTAACTGTGGTACAAAGCTGCGCCACCGGGCACAGGAAGGAAAACCACGAGCAAAGCTCACCCCAAAGCCTGACCTCAGCCCAGGGCTGGCTCAACAAGCACCCGTGGCTGTTCCGTGCTGCACAGGCAGCTCATCTCCCCTGGCACAGCAGGCAGGGAAGCGTGGCACGGTTCTGTTTGCTTTGGCAGTCTGGGAGTGGCACGGTGGGCATCGGTTCCAGCTCCTGTCCTGCCACCAGCACAGATGTCACCACGTGCCACAGCACTGCCACTCACCCAGGACAGCAGCCAGGAAGGCAGCAGAGACCCCAGCAAAGCCTTTGGCTGCCTCCCCCACCCCATCTCACCGTGGGGTTGGCCTGGAAGTCAGGAAGGGAATGCTGTCCCTGCTGCCCCAGCTCACACAGGGCAGGAGCCACAAATGCTGAACTGGTTTAAGACATGGGGAACTGGGCTGAGACAGCCAAACTGGGGCTCTGAACCGCCAGGCTGGAGCAGTGATGAACCCTGACAGATCTACGAGGGAGCATGAACCTGGGAAAAGGGCTCCAAAGGGAGCTCCCCCAGCCCAGCCCCCAGCCCAGCCCCCAGCCCAGCCCCCAGCCCACTGAAAGGAGCAAAAAACTCCCTTTTTGCTCAGTGGGCTTTGGCCAACTCTGAATGCTACAAACATGTATGGGATAGCAGCATGCTCACCCCAGTTTATCCACACTGGTGGCCCCTGCACTTGTTTGGAGTTAAGCTGATGCATTTCTGTAGTTGTAAGCACTTGTTTGTCACTGATTCCCTGGGAAAACAGAGCCAGGAAAGGAGGGACTTCACCACTGAATAAACCAGTGAATATATACAGGAGTATTTCCTAAACTGGGATTTTTATTTTGTACCTCCATTCCGTACCCTGGCCCAGCAGTGTCCAATCCCCTCCATCCAACAAGGGTGGGGATCCCTCTGGATGCAAGGTGACACATTTATTTTAGGAGGGGCTGAACTCAACAACAGTGGGGCAGAGTTATTTAACTGTACCCAAACCCTACACCACTGCCAGCAGTTTGCCATTGCCACCCAAGGAGGATCCAGGAGGATCCAGACCAAGTTTTCTTCTAGGAAACAGCTGCTGCCCGTGCCTCAACCCTGCCCAAAACGCCCCTTCCACACCAAGCTGGATGCCCCAGATCCGTCCCTGGCCCCGTTTTTCCTCAGCAATGGAGTCGTGGGCCTTCTCCAAGCCCTGGGAAGGACAGCAGCTCCTATCAGCCACTGCAGCGTGTGGTTAAACTCAGCATGTGACTGCAGCTGGAATTGCTCGTGTGCTGCCCCTTGTGCTGCTGGGGCCTCTCCCAGGGCACCCCAGGCTGGAGAGCCCCATGGAGCCAGCAGCTGTGCCAGCCGAGGTGCCCTTCTCAGCAGAGCTTTGGGAGCTTCCTGCCTCACTGAGCACTGCCACAGTGCCACAGAGCCAGCACAGGTGTGGCACAGGGCGAGGACGAGCCCCAGGCTCATCCACAGCCTCCAGCCAAGCACTGGAGCCAGGGGAGAGCCGGGCAGATCCTTCCCACATTGGGGTTTTTGGGAAGGACCTGGCATTCCTGACCTCCCAAGGCCATCTCAGCACATCTCAACAGAAAGCCAGGCTGGGGGAGGCAAACTGGGAGCTGTCCTTAGCCTTGGGCATCGGGGCACCACGGCCCCAGGGGCACCCTGGCACTGCGCCCTGGGCACGGACCACCAAAGCCTTCTCTGAGCACTGCAGAGCCCATTCCACCTCCTGCTCCACGGCGGGAATTCACAGATGGGAAAGGTCCAACATGCCAAACATGACACCCTCTCAGCAGCACCGGGAGCTGGGCAGGGCCGGCTCCCGAATTTCGGTCACACACACGCACGCACGGAGCGCGGAAGGCAGGAAAATGTCCCCAACCTCCGGCGGCGCACACGGCAGGGGCAGCGGCGCATCCCGGCCCCATTCCCGAGGAAAGCCCCTGCCAGCTGCCCCGGGAACCGGCACTGCCCGCGGGGATGGGCAGCGGCACCGGCACCGGCAGCGCACCGAGCACCGGCAGCGCACCGACACCGGGAACGATGCACCGGCTGCGGGCACGATGCTCTTGAGTTGCCCATCACCTCGACACTGTCTCCATCACCTCGACACTGCCCATCGCCCGGGCACTGCCCGCCGCACCGGGAGCTGTCCCCGCACCGGGCGCTGTCCCCGCACCGCCGCTGCCCAGCCCGGCGCTGTCCCCGCGGCCGTTCCGCCTTACCCAGGTGGTCACCCGGAGGAGGGTCTGCGGCTGCTTGAGGAAATCCACGGGGTCGATGGCCCCCCCCGCCCGGCCCGCTCCGAAGGACGCTCCTTCCATCTTCCCCCGCGCCCGCTCCGCGCCCCGCGCTGCCCCCCCCGCGCCCCTCCCTCGTGGGCTCGTCCGCAGCGCCGCGTGCGGGCGGCGGGAGGAACCACCCGGCGGGTGGGGGGGGGAGAGGGGGTGGGGGGCACGGGCAGGTGCGCGCGAACGGCGCGGGCGCGCTCCCGGCGCTGCGGGATCGAGCACGGTGACAGTGTGACAGTGTGACAGTGTGACAGTGTGACAGTGTGACAGTGTGACAGTGTGACAGTGTGACAGGCACTGTCACCGGGATATGGGCATGGACACTGTGACAGTGTGACACTGTGACACTGTGACAGGCACTGTCACCGGGATACGGGCATGGACACTGTGACACTGTGACAGGCACTGTCACCGGGATACGGGCATGGACACTGTGACACTGTGACACTGTGACACTGTGACACTGTGACACTGTGACACTGTGACACTGTGACAGGCGTTGTCACTGGGATATGGGCATGGACACTGTAACACTGTGACACTGTGACACTGTGACACTGTGACAGGCGTTGTCACTGGGATATGGGCATGGACACTGTAACACTGTGACACTTGACAGTGTGACACTGTGACACTGTGACAGGCACTGTCACCTGGATATGGGCATGGACACTGTGACACTGTGACACTGTGACACTGTGACACTGTGACACTGTGACAGGTGTTGTCACTGGGATGTGGGCATGGACACTGTGACACTGCGACTGGCATTGTCACCGGGCTGGGTCTCTGGGTACTGTGACACTGTGACACTGGGACACTGTGACACTGTGACACTGTGACAGACGTTGTCACTGGGATATGGGCACTGTGACACTGTGACACTGTAACACTGTGACACTGTGACAGGCACTGTCACCGGGATGTGGGCATGGACACTGTGACACTGCGACTGGCATTGTCACCGGGCTGGGTCTCTGTGCACTGTGACACTGTGACACTGTGACAGGCACTGTCACCGGGATATGGGCATGGCCACCACAGCAGAGCTGTGGCTAGCCAGTGCCACCATGCCGTGTGCCATGGCTGGGGACACCACAGAACAGCCAGGATCCCTTGCCACTGCCAGGGTCGCTGAGCTGTTCCATGAATTACTGTCCTGTGGTCACCGTGCTGCCTCTGGGGATAGCGTGCTGTGGGCAGGGGTGGGGTGTCCTTGCAGGTGCCACCATGCCGTGCCAGTGTCACCAGGCAATGGCAAAGGCTCCCTGGGAGCAGCTGGGCTGTTGGCAGCAGGGCAATGCCATGGCACAGAGCGCAGGGAGGTCACCACGCTGCTCAGCTCACCCCTGCTGCGGGCACTGACCCTAAAATAAACCCCCTTCTGTGCCCAGACCCCCAGAAAGGGCGGCTGTCACCCCTTGGGGACCCTCAGGGGCCCTGCAGCCAGGAGGGCTCTCAGACCTGGCAGGAGCCGGGGCTCTGCTGGCCGGGGGCAGAGAGCAAGGCTTGGCAAAGCTGCTCTTTGCTGTTGCACACTCAGGGCTGGTGCAGGAGAAGGGAAGTGAAAATGCCTGGGGCTGACCTCGGGCTTTCCTCACACACGCAAGGAGGCACCCAGAGCTTCCATGGGGGCAGGAGGCCAAAGCCCAGCCCTGCTCCCTCCCCAGGAACAGCAGGAAGGAGGAAAAGGAAGAAGCTCAGAGGGAAACCCTTGATTAGTGCAGAGGGAGATCCCCCCACGGCTCCAGGACCTGTCCTGAGCTGGTTTTGGAGCAGGGGCGATGCTGGTGGCGGTTCCATAGATACCGATGCCATGACAACCCTGACATCATCCCTGCTCCGGACGGGAGCTGCAGGGAAAGGCGCAGGGAGGAGGAGGAGCACGGGGCTGTGGGGCTGGGGGCTGCCCCACTGCAGCCCCATTGCCCTGGCAGGGACCGTGTCACTGTCACACTGCGGGTTACCTGCGGGACAGGTGTGTCACACCCTCACGATGCAGTCACCGAGCCAAGGATTCCCGGTGCTGGAGCCCATCTGCAGCTCCTTTTGCAGCTTTCTCAGTCTGCTCTTTCTGGCAGGTTGCAATCAGGATTTAACTGTTGAAGCTCATAATGGTGCCACGCAGCTTTTCTCAATGACAGGTGAGTCATCATCTCTCCAGGTCTATTTCTGCCTCCCAGCAGGAAAAGCAGAATTCAGCCCTTCATTCCTCAATGTCACCAGCTCACAACCAGCACATTTTTCTAGGCAAAACCGAAATGGCCACGGAGAGAATGGCAGGTTGGTCCCTCCTGCTTTCTGCTGGCAGGGTGGCTCGTGGAGCTGGCCAGGGAAGGGACCTCAGTGCCAAGAGCATCACTGCCAGCTCATCCCTGAATTGCAGGTCAGGAACAAAGACCAAATTAACTGGAAGGGATTACCCGAGGTGGGATTTTCAATCAGCTCCATCAGTTTAGAAGCAGCTGTTTCAGCATCCTCAAAAATCCAAATCAGGCTTTGGGCACAAACCATCCCAAACCCATCAGCCCAGAGTGATGGCATGGGCTGCCCTGCTCCTCCAGGGTGCCAGTGCCAGGGAGGCAGCGTCTTCCAGGGATGCTGCACAGGGAATCAAGGGGACCTGTGGGTTCTGCTCCTGGTTTTCTGATGATATTGGGGAAACCACTTTTTTCTCCCTCTTCCTTACATGTCTTGCCCAGCTGATCTGTCCCAGCTGGAATTTCTGGACAATGCAAAGCACAAGGGAGCAGGACACTGCCTGAATCTTTGAGATGTTGCCCTAGAACAAATCATGACCATTTCCAGACAGGTGTGGGGTTTATACCCTTCAAGGCATGACCATGGCGCACTGAAATTTCTGCTCCTAAACTTGTCCTTTCTTTGGGGTTCATCCCCCGACTTCTGCTGTGTGCAGTGTTTATACAATCATTTCCCACAACGTGGGGTGCCAGTTTTCTCCCCCTGCACCAGCTCAGATAAAGCACAGGAGGTATCTCCAGCCCACATACAAACTGTCTTTCTGTCTCGCTTCCTATTGCTGCAAATCAACAGATACACAGAGGCGGCCAATAATGGGGAAGGATATTGCACTTTCCACATTTCCCCCATCAAATGGAGAACAGCAGCGTTTGCAAATGGCACTTCTCAGAGCATTTGTTCGGTTTGAACAAGTTTTGTCTCTATTTACCATTCTCACTGGATTTCAGGGACAGGGGACCAGGACAGGGAACAAGGACAGGAAGCAAATAGAGCAGCACACAGACAAATGCCTGAGAGCTGCCCTTTTTTTTATTTCACAGGAGTTTGATTAAAGGTAGTGGAAAACATATATTTGCTTTTTGCTTCTTCTGGTCATGCCAACTTCTTACCTTTGTCTCTATGACAAAAAAACCCATCAGGGCTAAATATGTGGACATGATAGCTTGGAGGAGATAAGATGTGCAGCTTTCTCCTTCAAAACCGGTTCCAGTCAGCCTGACCCACTCAGCCAAGGGCTGACCCTTCAGGTTGTCCTTCACGTTCCCCGGGCAGCAGGCTGCAAGCAGCACTTTGAGAGACGTTTAGTTGTTGCTCTGAAATGCTTTGCTTGCCCTTCATTAGAGCTGGACTGATGCTGCTTTCGGCCATCAAATGAGAAAATGAAAATGAGAGTTGATGGGAATATTGAGAAGAGCTTAGAAGTCCATAGGGAGCTGGGCAGAGAATGAGCAGTACCTTAGCCCACTGTCACGAGAAAGCTCTTCATGCTTTTTACCCTAAGAGATCCAAAAATATCTGGAAGATCACTTATTAGCTGGTTACTCATCTGCTTGTGAAACGTTTCTCAGGTGGGATTTAGCACTTACTGTACACGGATAAACCAGGATAAGTGTGCCAGAAAAAACTGTGGAAAGTTTTTCTAACAGAAATCAGTGAGAGAAGACTGGGATAACAGAGCTCAGTGAGTTGAGGTAGTTTTGAAAAGGGGAGTTGTGTAAAACCCAAACTGAACCAAACCCCAAAGGGTTTCAAAACACCTCTCAGCGGTGCAGCCGTGGCCTCAACGCCTCAGGAGGGAACTCAGCATCTGCTCCTCCAGATATCTCACTGCATCAAAATTTTGGGGCTTTTGGCAAACCAGGATCTAATCTGATTCAGCCACTGCTCCCCACCTTGGGAGGAGCTTGAAAAGGGGGAACAAAGTGTTTGCTGTTCCCCAAACTGGTCTGCTTAGGAGCACACCAGCAGGTCCCAGCGTGCTGGGGACATGCCACCAACAGCTGACCGTGGTGCCTGTCACCTGCAGCTGACAGGTACAAGGACATGGGGCAGCTCAAGCCATACTGGACATGAAGATCATCCACAGGTACATCCAGCTTTGCTGCCAAAAATACACTGAAAATAAGAAAAGCTTTGTTTCTTAACTGAACACAACCCCAGCAGGTCCTCACATTCACCAGCAGGATGCAACCTGATGGAAAAGAGATTTGTGGGATGGATGGAGATGAGGGATTTTATAAGTGTGAACACTCTCAGGCCCAGGCTTGTGCAGCACAAGCCCATTAAAACAGCCCCCCTGAAGGAGATTTGCATCTAAACAGGAAATACAGGGGAAGACTGCCCTAACAGCTATTTTACCTCCCTTGTGCAGAAGTGAAAATGTGGCCGCAGAAGATGAAGTTACTTACTTGGTGTCTAGCAAGAAGATTATGACTAAAAAAGAACTAAATTTTGATCTCTAGAGCCTCCAGCCACGTGCTCTGGCCATGAAGGCATTGTATTTTTTTATTTTTTTTTCATGCACATCTGGATGGAAAAAGCAGGGAAAGCTCAGTTTTGTCTGACCATCCTCAGAATTCACAGGGCAAGTCTCCATCCAGCAGTGGGACTTGAGCTTAGAAGAACACTAAAGCATGGAAGGTTTTAGGGGCTGCATGAAACACCTGGTGGGACAGACATTAAATTAACTCCACTGTTTCCTTTCTCACAGATCTGCTAACCCAAAGCAAATCTCCCATGAAACTGTGGGATTTCTTCCCACCTTTTCCCAGCAGAGCAAAGCAGGTGACAACAATGCCAAAGAAGTTGGATCCCCTCTCTGGCTGTTCTCACTGTTGTGTGTTGTTCCCTGTACCCACCTCTGGTCCGTGCAGGAGGCCTGTCACTCTTACAAAATTATCCAGTGAGGTAAATTCACCCTTTCTTATCTGTTAATGACCAAAAAAAGCCAGAACATCTCCATATATCACCAGCTATGGGCTGAAGATCAGGTAGGAAATGTGCTGGAAACAGCATCCAGGACTTTATTCTGCTTCCAAGTGCAGATTTTAGCTGCAGGCAGAGGAGTAACACATCCCTCGTTGTGGTAATTACACCAGAGGCTTGCACACTCGTTTGAAAAGTAACAGAAGGCACCAAAATCTCCTCCCAAAGCCCCAGGAAAGGGACTAGGATGAGGTAGAACATTTGGTGTCTGGAGCAGTCTTGTTCCAGAGAAGGGTAAGAGGTGCAAAAGTCAAGGAAGCACAAGTATATACATGGCAATCCATCCTCTGTTGCCCTCTGCTGTTGGCTTGGTCGGATGTGAAGGGGTTTGGTGTTCACCAACACTTCCCTGTGGGACTGATCCAGAGCAGTGCCCCAGCTGGTGCCAAGGCTGACCCTCACCCCTTGGATTAAATTTAACTGATTTGTCTCTGTGCCATTACCTGTGGTTTGCTTTTTATGTGTTATTACTTTCCTTATTACCCTACAAAATCAAGAGTTGACTTCACATCACCTTGTTGGCTGTGCTTAATCCTGACTTCAAATAATATTGGATAGCTGCTCTCCATCCTTCAGACAAAAAGCCTGAGCAGTCATTCCAGGAATGGAATAAAACCCCAACAAAATCAGTGCTTAGAAGGAGAGGAAAGAAAAAAACAAACAAAAAAAGCCAAACCCTTCCCTCTCCAAGCCTGTAAAACTCCAAGAGGAAGAGTCTCCCACACTGCCTGGAACAGACTGAAGCAGAAGACAGGAGAAAACAAAGCAGCTCTTGGGAATCCTACTGTAAACAGGAGCCTGAATACACCCAACACCCTGCAAAGGAACAGCTAATCCCTGGAAAAATGTCAAAGGCACAGTGCTGCTTCTGCCAGCATCTGCAAGTCTGCCTGCCATCCATGGAACAGATGATTCCCCCAGGGCTCCCTGCTCTTTGCTTTTGGGGAGGGAAGAAAAATTTTGAAAAAAGAAGGAAAAAAAAAAGTGAAGCATGGTTTGGATGCAAACCAGCCCATGAAAACAGCGAGGAATTTGGGAAGCTGCAAGGTTGGTCAGGTTCCTGTCACACAGCAGCAGCTCTTGAGAAAGGTCCCACAAGCTCCTCAAGCAGCACCTGCTCCTGACTCTGCTCTTCCTCTCCTCATTCCAGAAAATGGGATTGCAAACCCTACTCCCAACTCTAATGCTGCCCCTCACGCTGAAAGTCAAGAAAATCACTGGGATCCCATAAAAATTCCCACTGTTCCCCATATAAAAGCAAATTCCGACTCGACAGAACCTGCTGGAAAAATTCCTGCATTGTTGTAGGGCCAACAGAGAACTGCATCAATCCAAGAGCACAAGAGGAAAGGACCAGGAGCAGCCCCACCTTGTCTGATCAATGCACACAGAATCACACAATTTCCCTGAGCCACCAGACTATAATATACACATACATAATTATATTTATATATATATATATATATATATATATATCTTGTTTTGTATATATAACAGTAATATCTTGGCATGCAGAGGTTAGACCCACCAGCATAGCATGATCCCTTTTCCCAAGATCCCACCCCTAAGATCCCAGCAGGAGTGGATCAGGAGTAAACTCAGTTGCTTTATTGTTTTTACATCAACAGGAAATATAATTTGAATACAGAGATTTTTAAAACTAGATTGAATCAAGTGCAGTTAATAGAGAATTCACAATTTCCTGTACACAAGCATGAAGACCTCCAGTGGAAATCCCTTACCCGAGACTAAAACTTGTGGTACAAATGAACAGCAGAACAAATCCCCCCAATCGTCACATGGTCAAGCCCACAGAGGTGAGGATGAGAACTACACCAGAGCTCTTCTGCCAAGCCAAAAACATGAGAGAACAAAGTGCAAGCATTTTATCAAATGGCCCCATGGTAAAGATAGAAACTGGCCTAAAAGCATCCTGACCACAGCTGGTGGCCTCATTTTCAGGCAGGATTTGCTAAAGACAGAGACTCGGCTTGAAGGTTCTTCCCCAGCCCTGCCAGGACAGGCTTTTCCTGACAGAATGTGATGGATACAGCCTCATGTCCCCCTGTGCAGCCAGGGAGGGGACAGCTGTGCTGGGAGGCTCCGATGTCCCCGCTGCTCCCCGAGCCTGGCCAGCACACCCCAGCACTGGCACAGGGCAGTGCAAGCCCCCAGCCTGCTCCCCTGGTACACAAAGGTGACAAAGGATGGGACAGATGTTTCACCAACCTGCTCGTTTACACTGCAACAAATGAGGGAGAAATATCATTTGCTCCGTGGGCGAGGAAATTGTCACAGAGAACAGCGGAAGAACACAAAATTCCTGCTTTAGCACAACCAAAGCCAGAGGGAGACGCCTGCCCACACCCCCAGCTGCTAAAAGCAGCTCCTGGCAGAACTGAGTCAGCAGGGTCCTGCCTGCAAAAAGGGAGGGCTGCAGCCCTTTTGTTGGTCCTCTCCTCTCTAGGGGATCCCAATGGGCTTTGTTTTGGGGGCTGAGGTTATTACCAAAAGACAAAACCCAAGAGCTGGGATTTATTTGTTCTAAGAACCTCAACATGCTGATAGGGAAATTTTCTGAGCACTTTTAGTAGCCTGAACGACACCTTCAATCACACTCTTCACACAGTACCTGGTTAATGGTTCATTTGGGTTTGTGTTTAGAAATGTAACGATGTAAAAAGTTCAGAAATCATTAGTCCATAAAAGTCTCGTATTCATTTAACAGACCCGACTTGAAAGGACTTGAGTGTGCCCCAAAATGTTAAAATGTGTTTCCAAAGGTGTTGCTGGTTTTCTAACCACTAAGGAGTCCCACACAGTGCTGTGGGGACCAAAGGCTCAGATAAGAGGTGCCGCTGCTCTAATTACAGCAGTACCATTAAACTTTCCAGTCAAAACTTGCCAAAAATCCCCAAGGGTAAATTCACAGGTGTGCTGTAGGGCATGACATAAGGAAGCACAATAAAATAGGTAAGAAAACCTCAGCAGGAAGCAGGGAAGGGAAAAAAACCCTGTTGTTGTCAGGGTTTGTGCAAACCTCTCCCTGCCAGGAGTGCAGGAAGGGATGAGATCACGACCTACGTGAAGAACTTGAAATGATTTTGACTCTGTTTTGTCCTCTGACATGGTAAGCTGAAACACAAAACCAAATTGAGACATCTGAGCTCCATATTTTAGTGTTTAAATTAAATGTACCTGCCCTCACGACTTTTATCAAAGGAACTGGATGCAAGAGTAACAACAAATGTTGGAGATCCTGGAAAGAGCAATCCAGGGGTACAGACTTGGCACAAAACCCAGCATGAGTTTTCTCTATCAGAACAGAAAGTGACAATTAATCAGATGCATTTTCGAAAACATCAGTCAATGCCTGCAGAGAACACCACTGTGTTCAGGGAAAACGAATTCTAGCCACAAAGATAAGCAAAAGCCCCCAAAATCAGGAAATGTCATAATTAAATGAGTTTGTCAGTGACCCAGTCTCAGAGGTTTCTGGCAGCCTCAACCCCTCAGGTACCATAACTTATCAAAATATCATTGGGATAGGATTTTCAATTCTCCTTTTGGCATTGGTTCAGCTCTGAATCAGTCCCACACAAACAGAGTTATTGACTCCCACTGTCCCTGCAGCAAGTCCACGTGTACTGCACTGCTCTGCTGGATTCCCAGAGCAATCCCTGCGGGTTAATCACAGCTCCCGTCCTTCCAGCCATCCCTCCAGCGCTCATCCACACGGGAGCAGTCGAATTCCAGCTTCCCCAGCTTCCTGTTCACTTCGTTGTGGAGCTGACACAGCCACTGGGAGAAGTTACTCCTGCTGCTCGTGTCGGGTTGGTTTGTCTGTAATCTGCAAAGAGGCAACGGGAAACAAATTATTTGAAACTTCTGAGAAAGAAGCTGAGAGCGGCAGAAAATCCTATCAAAGAATCCCAGAATGGTTTGGGTTGGAATGGATTTTAAAGATCAGCTCAACCCAAGCCCCTGCCATGGGCAAAGACACCTTCTACCAAATCAAACACCTCAGCCCATTTCAGTCCTTGCCTCCCTACTCAGATTGCCAGCACAGGGCATTTTAGAGGGTACAAGAATACTTGTCTCCTCAAAACCAAATTATCCCAGTCTAATTCCACAGCTGTTCACAAGCCCATTTTGAACCAGAAAATTCCAAGATCACTTCAGTGAGGCCCTGGAGGCAGCACAGAACCCAACAGCATGAGGAGAAGTGTTTGTTTTTTGAGTAAGTGCATCTGTGATTGATGCAATAATGGAAGAAACCAGTTCAGGTAGCTACAAACCCCAAGTGCAGGAAGAGCTGCTGATATGCAAACTAGCTGCTGCAGCCCAGCACTTCTGGCAAGCCCCTCCAGCACAAAGACCTCCTGAGGCTACTCACCTTTCCCTCAGATCTTCAGAAAAACCCACTGAGGAAACTCATCCTTTCCCTCAGATCCTCAGAAAACCTGCTGAGGCCACTCACCTGTCCTTCAGAGCCTCAGAAAACCCACTGAGGAAACTCACCTTCCCCCAGATCCTGAAAAAACCCTCTGAGGCAGCTCACCTTTCCCTCAGGTCCTCTGCGCAGTGCTCGCAGGGGTAGAACTTGGAGAAGAGGTGGATGAAGTCCCTCATCTCCTTCTGCTGTGCCCTGGAGGGCCGGTCGGGGTAGTAGGCAGCCATGGTGTGCAGGAAAGCCCAGGTGCTGCGGCCCAGCTGCTCGCTGTCCAGGGGACAGTCCGGACGGGGCTCCTTCTCCTCTGCCACTGCCACGTCCTGCAGAGGGACAGAGGGGTGTGAGGGGACGCCGGGCTGGGTGGGGAAACAGCCCTTTTGTGCTGGGTGGCAAGGTGAGATGGGGGGAATAGGTCCTTCACATCCTTTCTGAGGACATGGTAGAGCCCCCCTCACACCTTCTGAGGAGACACTGCAGAGCCTCCTCACACCTTCTGAGGGGACATGGCAGAGCCCCCCTCAAACCCTCTGTGGGGACAAGGCAAAGATCCTTTCACACCCTCAGGGGACATGGCAGAGCCCCCCTCAAACCCTCTGTGGGGACAAGGCAAAGACCCTTTCACACCCTCAGGGGACATGGCAGAGCCCCCCTCACACCCTCTGTGGGGACAAGGCAAAGACCTTTTCACTCCCTCAGGGGACATGGCAGAGCCCCCCTCACACCCTCAGCGGGAGCAATGGCAGAGCCCCCTCACCCCCGAGGAGGAGATGGGGATCCCCTTCCCATTCCCACCGAAGGGAACCCTGTCTCCAGCTCCTTCACATCCTGAAGGGAACAGGCAGCCTCATCCCACTTTATGGGGGCAGGATGAAGGACTGAGGGAGCTCTGCAGGAACTGGGGGCCGCCAGGGTTCCAGGGAGGGCTCCCGCCGCGCCTCACCGCGCTGCCCGGGGCCGCCTGCTTCCTCTGCTCGCGGAGCCAGCTCCTGAAATCCGTGCAGGCTCGGCATGGCTTCTTGGCCGGCTCTCCCGCCGCGTCGTGCGGGACGGAGAAGGGGAAGGAGCCGCTGCCGGTGCCCGGGAAGGATGCGGCAGCCCGGCCCGCACGGCCCTCGCTGGGCGCCGCCATGCCTGCGCCGCGGTGCAGGCCGGGCCGGGGCGGCGCCATTCCCGCCCTGACGGGGCTGGCACCCGGCACAGACCCTAGTGCCATTTCTGGTGTGTTTTTACTGATAAACGGCTGCGAGCTCTGTGTTTAAATATCGTCTGAGAGGAAAACACGATACTCCCGGCTGTGCTTCTCCCTCTGCTTCCCCTCTGTGTGAGGGGACTCTGCCATGTTCCCCCGCAGGCTGTGAAGGGACTCTGCCATGTCCCCCCTCAGGCTGTGAAGGGACTCTGCCATGTCAGTCCTGAGGGTGTGAGGGGTCTCTGCCATGATGCCCCTGAGGGTGTGAGGGGGCTCTGCCATGTCTTTCCTCAGGCTGTGAAGGGACTCCCTCAGGGGGTGAGGGGGCTCTGCCATGTTCCCCCTCAGGGTGTGAGGGGACTCTGCCATGATCCCCCTGAGGGTGTGAAGAGACTCTGCCATGTCCCTCCTGAGGATGTGAAGAGACTCTACCATGATCCCCCTGAGGGTGTGAGGGTTCTCTGCTATGTACCCTCTCAGGGTGTGAGGGGACTCTGCCATGATGTCCCTGAGGGTGTGAGGGGTCTCTGCCACGTCCCTTCAGTCGGTGTCAAAGACCTCTCAAATGGCCCTCCCAAATGAGCACAGAAATACATATAAATATATGTTCCTATGGAGTGTGGAGCATCTCTGTATTGAGGAGAGACTGCAGGAGCTGGGCCTGGTCAGTCTGGAGAAGGGAAGGCTGAGAGGAGATCCCATCAATCCATAAAATCCCTCCCAGGGGTGTCAGAGGATGGTGCCAGACTCTGTTCAGTGACAGGATGGGGAGCAGTGCCCAGGAACTAAAACACAGCAAGTTCCATGTTGACATGAGGAAGAAGCTCTTTGCAGTGAGGGTGGCAGAGCCCTGAACAGCTGCCCAGGGAGGGTGTGGAGTCTCCCTTAGGAGACATCCCAAACCCACCCGGACACGTTCCTGTGTCACCTGCTCTGGGTGACCCTGCCTGGGCAGGGGGCTGGACTGGATGATCTCTTCCAAACTCAATTATTCTGGGATTCCGGGATGTTTAGATATGGTGTGTGGCAGACCCTGTGGCACACAGCAGCTCTCCTTCATGCCAGCAGTGCTGACAGGCACCTCAGCATTATCTCCAGCAGAGTCATACAATCAACAGGGCGATTTTATGGACAAACACGTGGATAACTCCATTCAACTCATGCTCCTTTATAGGAACACGCCCATATGAAGTTTTCATGTTTTTAACATCTGTCACATGCTTGTAAATCCATACTGAGGGAGGATTTTCCTCTTTCTGAGGGTGTTGGCACATCTCTCACCACGGCAGGCGCTGCCTGGGAGTGGCTGGGTTCCTCAGGGTGATGGAGAGCCGGACCTGGCCCCAGGGCCTTGGTCTTGAGTGGACATTTCACATTTTTTCTTTTATTCCCAGAGAGCCACAAGCTTGTGAGCACATGAGAGTGGTAACCTCGTCAACTGTCCAGCCTGGCATCAGACTTTGCAGCTTGTTCTTTCACCCCTTGGAAATGTTAATTAGCTGTGGACTCACAAAATACTTAATAGAGGCCAGAGGGTGAAAACTTGGACAGCAGCACAGACTTGCTCTCATCCTTCTTTTTGGCTTGATTCTGTCATGCTCTTAAAGGTTTGAGAACCACCAGTAAGCAATGTGAATTTTGTATCCACTTCAACTTTTCTCCTGTTCATCACCTGTAGGTCAAGTGAAAAATATGATTATTTTGTTTAATGCAAACAAATGTATGCCCAGGATGGAACTGGACCAAAATGTTCACCTTATATATAAATATATATATGTGCTTTATTTAACACAGTGTGGTGTGACATGTGTATTGGAAAAAGCATCATTTTAGAGAAATACCTCAAAGACTTGCCCTTAAAAATACTTCAGCACTTGGTGTATTTCATGTGGAAATGGCTGAACTGTTCCTGCTCTGTGGAGCACTGAGCTGATAGTCTGGGTCTCCATCTTGGGGTGTCTATTTGCCAGTGCTCCTTTATTTTTGTTTATTTGCAATTTCTTGGGAGTATTTCTTTGCTGATTTTTGTGAGGAGGGGGGAGAAGACACGTGAGTAACTGGTAGGAACTGCTGGAAGTTCCTAAACTTGTTTAAAGTTGTAGACAACTGTAAAGATAAATTTCACACGCAAAGGAAGATCAAGTAGGGACGGCAACATTTTTATGTCTGTTTTCCTTGGCCAGCAATAAATGTTTTAATGGATGCTCATAACCTCATTAATTTTTATAAAGTCAGGAAAAAAGACAATGAGGTACTGAGGGAATTTCCTCTAGAGCTTTATTGTTTGGTCTAGAAGCAATTAAACAGGTGCAAAGATGTTTCCAAGTTACAGCAATCTCCTGGTTTTGCCGTTAGCAGACTTTGCTTCCTTGATTGTGATTTAATTTATGGATTCAGTTAAAATATCAGCATTTTTATTGAAAAGGAAAAGCGTTGAAGGAAGCTGTTGGTTTCAGAGATTTGTGCTCCATGTTGCTCTAGGAGCAGAGCAGGCTCTTTATGAAAAGATCCTCCCAATTTTCTCCACTTGCCTTCAGATCCAGCATCAGCTTGGATTTAAAAGTTTAAAAAAAGGAGAAATGCTCCAATTCAAGTCAGAGCGAGGAAATTCACTTTACTGTTTCTAAATGAATCCAAGTGCAGAGCCAAATCGGTTCCATCCAAAGGAAGGAATGTGGTGCAGAGCCGAGGATGGATGAGGGAACATTCCCTCCTCCTCTCCCTTGGACGGCCCTAACCCGCCCAACCCTCTGCTTCCAGTGCTGATTTAGGAGCTGGAGTGTGCTACAGCCTGTTACCAAACAAACCCCTCACACAAATTCGATTTTGGGGAGGAATCCTTCCCCGTGAGCGTGGGCAGGCCCTGGCACAGGGTGCCCAGAGCAGCTGTGTCTGCCCTGGATCCCTGGGAGTGTCCACAGCCAGCTTGGACAGGGCTTGGAGCAGCCTGGGAGGGTGGAAGGTGTCCCTGCCCAAGGCTCCTGGGCACAGATGCTGCCAGCAGAGCACCAGTGTCTGTGAGACTGGGCCCACTGAAGTCACAGATGTCACCGAGTATGTCCCTCTTCCTCAGAGCCATGCCTGGAATGGGGCAGCTCGGGGGGTGCTGACAGCAGTCACCAGGAAGCAGCAGTAAAGCCCATGCTGGAGAAAATCAAAGGCTGTGTTTGCCTTTCTCAGAGCTGTTTGATCTTCTGCTCTTACCTTTGCGCCTGCTACACGAGAGCTGGGAACAGGCAGCTGACAGTGGGGCTGGGGGAAGGAAAAAGAAATGGGGCTGGACACCCTCCCCACCCTGCTGAGCCCTGCAAAATCCATGGCACAGGCATCCTCAAGTGGGCTTGGGCAAAACAGAAGTCCTGGTTTAATACAGCCCCTGAGCAAAGCAGGTGACCCCAAGGAGGGGTGGCTCGGAGGAGAGGAGACACAAGGGGAAATGATCCCGAGGAGGGAGGATCCCAAGGATTCACACAACTCTTTCCCAGCAATGTGACCCCAGCTTCCTGCAGGTTGGTCATTATGGACTGGGACAAGGAATAATATTCTCGGAGCCTTCTTCATTTGGAAATCTAAACACCACTGAATATCCAGTAATTTATTTGAAGTTTCAAATGAGGCAAGTGGAACAGGTTGTCCAGAGAGATCCTGGTTGCCCCATCCCTGGAAGTGCCCAAGCTGAGGTTGAACAGGGCTTGGAGCAGCCTGGGATAGTGCAAGGTGTCCCTGCCCATGGCAGGAATTGGATGGGCTTTAAGGTCCTTTCCAAACCAAACTGTTCCATGATTCTTTGATTTTTTTTGGGGGCGGGGGGAGGAAATGTACCCTGTGCCTCTCAGGATCCTTACCAAGTGTTTTTGTGATGGTTTTGTAGGTAGTTCCAGCTGAATGTAACTGTTTCCTTCTGCAGGGCAATACAGCAGGAAGCTGTCTTGTATTTACATGTAAGAATGTGAGCCTAAAGTCTGACCAGTGATATGTCAGCACCAGGAATTAGTCATAGACTTGTCTGGGAAATTACAGCCAACTAGGAAATAGAAACAACAACAAAAAAAAGACGTTTATTTCTAGGTAAGTGAATCATATTGATCCTCTCTGCTTGCATAAAGAACTTTATCACCTGCAAAATTTCCCAAAAGTATGAATTTATCTCCCAGATACCACAAAGGAGCCTTCAGCCCCCCTGCCAGGAGATGGGTGAGATGTCTCTGTTCTGATCCATCCAGAACTGTTGAAATGTGTTCAGAACAGTCTGAAGTGTAAGACAGCACAAGGCACTGCCTTGCTCAAATCTGGGCATCTACACCCGACACTGAATTGGTTCTTTTAAGGTTGGTGCCATTTTTATGCATGGATCCTCTTGCTGATTAAAATGGGAATCCATGAGTAAAAGTGATGGCAGGGACAGGGAGAAAACCAAATTATTTCTGCAGGTTGGTTTAGGTGGTCCTGTTTGTGTTGTGCTCCAATCTATTTCCTCCTTCCCAGACCCACTCCAGGCATCCCTGGAATCTGTTCATCCATTCTGAGGATAAACACAGCAAAATTGGGGGTTCCTTTTGTGTTCTTCAAAAACAAAGTCTTCAGTGAGCAGCTCCTGTTCTCTTGGCTTTGTAAAAGGAGAGTGGCCCCTGTTTTGGGATGATTCCTTTTTTCCAGAAGGATGTCAAAGGAATTCAACAGGAAGTCTCCTTCAGTGGAAGAGGTTTTCCTCAGGTAACAGTTGCTGTGTTTGGACTCATTAAGAATTAAACATAGATAAAAAACCCAATTCCTTCCACATTGCTCTTCTCCCACCAGGCTTTTGAGTGAAGATTGGATGGGGTTTTGCCTGGTTTCTGAAGGGGCCAAGGAACACAAGTTGCTGTTTTTGCTTTGAAATACAGGTGAACTTTTAGCCAGAGCTCCTGGTGCTGGTGGAATCCTCAGGAGAGATAAGGCTTTGCATACCGCTCCTCGATGGCCGTGGGGAATGAGGAAAGGGAAAGAGTGGGATGAGCATCTCTGACTAATCTGAAAGGAACACAACGGTCTTGTCTCTGATCAATTTACTATATTTAGCATTATGTAAGAACAGATTTTCCCCAAGTGAAAACAGTATTTCTCCATGTTTGCTGGTGCTTGCAGCGCTTGCTGTTGGCTGTACTGGTGTTGCTGGGATTTTCTCCCACCAGATTTCGGAATGGGTAGGGCAGGCAGAGCACTGCAGAGCCTCAAACACCCTTGGAAATTCCACCCTGCTTTTCTTATCCCTTCACATCCCGTTCCTGAGTCCCAGCATGTCCACACAGTGCTGGCCTCGTGCCATGCACTCATCAAACACTGTTTTTTTTTCTGAGAAAATAATTCAGGGAACCTCCTCTTCTTGAAGCAGCTTAAGTTACATTCTTACCCTTTCTGGAAAATTCCTTCTTGAATCACACTTTTGTATTTTGCATAACCTTAGGAAAACATGTCACTTTTATAAAAGAACTATGAAATCATTTCAACAGGTGCTTGGTAAACAGAAGCCTGTCTGCTGTGCATGCCTTAGGCAGAGAACAAAGCTCCTGAGATGGGCAGAGCTCTCCCTGGGCTGGATGGGGCCATTCCAAGGGCTTTTCCAAGAAAATGACGCCTCGGGAGTCAGGTTTGAGGGAGTTTGATGCGGTGCTGTGATTTTGGATCTTAAAATAAAGCTGCCTCTGAAGAATGAGTGGCCCCCTGCACTGAAGAGGGATGTGCACCTTGAGAAGCTCCCATGATGGAGTGGGAAAGGGCTGAGTACTCCCTGTGCTCAAAGGGTTTCTGAATTGGGTCTGCCACAGAGAAATGCTTTAGTGCCTGCAGCAGCTGCTGGAATTAGGATGAAAAGAAATACTTTCTTCTGGATTAGTTACTGCAAAAGCTCTCATCCCAGCCTGTGTGAAAGTTCAACTGCTTCCTTTGTTCACGAGGTGAAGGAGACTTTTGTCAACTCCAGTGTCTGGGTTTTCATTGTTCTTTTTAAATAAAGGTCTGTTTCTCTCTTTATTAAAAGTCTAAAACCTCTTTGTACTTTTAAAATCGGCTTTTAGTATCTGGGCTTTTCATTAAAGGTGCTGATAGGTCATGTGTCATCACAGGTGACCTTCAAGAACAGCAAAGGGCAGGTTTTGATCCTGAAGGTGAGCAAGGGAAAGATGAAGCTTTTCCCCCCGCTTTGTTCCAGGCCTGCCTTGGCTGTGCCCACAGCTCCTTTCTGTAGCTCTTCCTTGCAGCTGCAGTGTCCTGAGGGTGATTTGGGGACTTTTCCTCTCTTTGCCTTTCCTTTGCTGGCCATAGAAGGAGAAATCCCTGATGCAGAGTCCCACACATCGTCATTCCTGAGGGGCACAGGTCACTCAGCAGCCCAGACACGACTTCTGTGTGTAGGAAAGATGTTCAGAACACAGCTGCTCCTCTCCAAGCATTTGGGACAAGGCTGTTTCTTGTTGCATCTGGAAAATGGTTCAGGAGGAGCTGGAGATGAGCTGCCTTTGGCTGCCCCCAAGCATCTGTGCACTCTGATCCTGCTTCTACTGGAGTTACTCCTGATCCACACCGAAATGAAAAGAAAAGCAGAGCATCAGTGTTTATTTGTCATGGCAGGGAGGCTGATTTTGGGATGGAAATACTCTGTGGGACAGCCCTGGTGACTCTGGGGCCTTCCTGCAGCCTCTGGGTGACCTCCTTCATCTTCCCAGCCGTGGGCAGTCTGGGGCAGGCAGTCTGATGTGGCTCCTGCTGTGACACAAACGTGTTTCTGTCCCCAGAGGAGCAGTCTGTACTGGAGTGATGCTCCTTGAGTAGCAGAGCTCCACCTTGGTGGGGTGCAGGAGGCTCTCTCGGAGCAGACTGCAGAATTATGGGAGTCATTAAGGAAAAATCCATGTTTCCTGTATCTTGGCAAAGCTGGGCAGTGCCCTCCTACATATTGCCTGTTAATTTATGATCTCTTTGATACCTTGTGAAACAACTAAAGGAAAATTAACTGCTGCCCTCACAGCTGTGTAAATAAATATCAACGGTGAAACAGCAGTGTCCAGTAATTCTTGCTGAGTCTCACTTTTTCTGGGCAGACCCCCTCCTCCCCACCATTAATTATTACCCAAGAGGAGGCACTGATTTATGGCAGGATGACATGGAAACTGTAGAAGACAAAAAGTAAACTTGATAATGCCAGAAAAACAATGTTTGTCTTGTTTTTTATGAGTGAGTCCAAATGCATCCAGCAGAGAAGTGGAGCTGTGGCCTCTGCTGGTGGGTTACCCATAATTGCCAACAGGAATGGCACTGGCATGGCCAGACTTGTGGAGAGCTTTGGGGAGCACCGTGCCCATCCAGGGACCATCTGGCCCAGCTTCCTTCTGGTTTCCTAGGCGGTGTCACTGCAGATGTGACGTGGCTCCTGAGGTCATTCTGGAGCAGAGAGTTTGGTGACATCACAGCTGACACCGCCAGGGCTGCGATGCTGCTGTGGCAGCTGCAGAGCTGGAACTGAGCCCTCCAGGTGACTCCAGAGGTGTTGGTGTCTCAGAGGAGTGGCAGGCTTTTCCCCTCCCTCCCTGCGCCTCAGGTCTGTGTCACTGAGCCCTTCACTTCCGCAAAACATTTTCTTAGTAACGAATTATTGAGTTTTGAACAGTTTTGCTCATATTTGCTTTGATTGCAACACCACAGTCACCAGCAACCTCCCAGTCAGTCCAATCTTTTGCAGAAGATCAGCTCTCCAAACTGCAGGGCTGGTCCTTCTGCCTCGGGTGACTAGTAAACCCCTGTGTAACTTCATTTTCTTGTTGTAACATTCCATTTGACATTTTCCACTCCCCCCTTTCTGCTTGAATTCCCTGAGAATGACGAAACGCTGCAAAACCAAGGCTGTTTCCTACTCTTCTGGTTTTTATGGCATCTGTAGCTCAAGGTGCTCTCTGAGCCTCCCCGGCTGTCTCCTCATCCTGCAGCTCCTCCAAGGCTTTCCTTGTCTTTGGCTTTTCCCAGTCAGGATAAATATGTTTAAACCTTTACATTCTTGAAAATACGTTGTGGTTTGTGTCTGCTCTGGGATGGGAAACCAAGCCAAGGTGCTTCACTGGGAGTCCTGATCCCAAATATTTCCAAGAGCCCCTTAACAGAGCCACGTGAGGGTGAGCTTGGCCCTGGCTTGGCTGCCAAGGAGAAGCCAAGGAGTGCAGGTTTGAGGACAGAGAGTCAGCAAAGTGTTTTGGCACCTCAGAGACTGGGACTTTCTCAATAAATCTGCTGGATGAAGTGATTTCCTCTCACTCCATAAAATCCTCACGGTTTGATCTGGGGAGATTTACCAGTACATGGTTTGGCTGGAGGTTTTCTAACAGAGGGATGGAGGGTCTGATTCCAGAGCTGTGGAGGGTAGGGAGCTGCTCCACATCCCTTTTCCACAGGGCAGCTCCTGAGCAGCTTCCTGAGCCAGGAAATGCCTCAGAGATGCTGTTGGAGAGATTTTCTCTCCAAAATCCACACCGAACCAAAGTGCTTTTTGGATCACTTTCCCTTTTTAATGCAGGACAGATATCCAGCAGCAATAAATCCAACTGCAATAAACCTGCTTTCTTTGTCTGCAGAAACTGCCGCCCTGCTGGGTGGGAGCAGCCCTCCTGTGCTCATGGATCACAAACCAAGAACCTCCTGACTGTATTTTCCAGAAGGAATCTGGTTTGGCTTTGTGTTCCTGTTCTGGGGTAGATTTTTTGGTAGATGAAAAATCATCTGCAGCCGCTGCTGAGGGTTTGAGACACCAGGTGTAGCTGGGAAATGAAAGGGAGGCACGGAGCCTCTCAGTTTGGGTTCCAATAATGATAATGCTAAAGATAATTATAGTGATAATGGTTCAATTGAGGCTTTATCAAAGAAGAAGTGCTTTGATCACACGGTGCCCATCAGCCCTGAGGTTCAGGGAGAGGACAGGCTGGCCAAGGCTGGAATTATCTCTCCTGCTGTGCCTCTGGGCAGTGGGGCTGCTCCTTAGGAAGAGCTGCTGGCTGCCCTGGGAGGGTGTGGACACCTGGCTGGACCCAGGGCAGAGCACTCAGAGCTGAATTTCCATCGCCTATTTTCACCCGAGGAGCTTTCAGTCTTTTAGTTACATCCTGGGGATGTGCCTGTTCATTCAATGGAGATGTTGATAAAACTGTCAGAAATCTATTTAAAGTAACTCGGCAGGTGGGACAAAGCAGGAAAAAAAAGTTAATATTTGCAACAAATATTACTCACGTTTAATGGTGCCTAATCTGTGTTTTACAACCCAGACTGTTCTAAATCGGGCTTTGGGGCTGGAGTGAGCTCAGCCCGAGTTGCAGGTCTGTGTAATACAACCATAAAAACCTCCCAGGTGTCCAGGAAATATCTCGGGGCAGGTGCTGCTGCCCCTGTGACTTATTCTAACCCAGCGCTGGTAAACAGCCCCGGCTCCCTCCCCTTCCTTCCTGGCACTGCTTAGTAAGGATGTGATAAAATAATGTGTTTTTTCTCCCCGCTCCCTAAACTATGTCCCGCCCACACCGGGCAGCATTTGCATGTTAAAGGTGGGGGGAAAGGTATAAAAGGCAGGTGGCAGTTTGGCAAATCACGGAATTTCTGCACAGGGGCTGGGCGGAGGAGGAAGCTCGGGAACACCTCTGCTCTGCCTCCTGCTCCAGGGCATTTATTTAACTGCGGCAGTCCGGGCTGGAGCAGCATCTCTGCTCCCTGCAGCTCCCATCCCTCCCTCCCTCATCCCTCCACCAAAGAGCAGCAGCAGCCGTGGGGAGGATGAGCTGCAACAGGTATCCCATGGATGTGAAGGCTGTGGGCTTCATGCAGTGCAGAAAACAGAAGGTACTCCCATTTTTATTCTTTCTTTTTGGCTTTGTTTTCTTCCTTAAATATAATTTACAAATTGGGAGATGAGAGGTTTTTGAGTTACTCTTCCAAGGATATGTTTGCTTATTCCCTATAGTATTTGGATTGGCGGTCTAGGACAAGGGAACTTGTTTTTTAATGAGCTTAACATCTTGGGTTTTGCTCTTTTTGTCACAGCACCATAAAATTCTCCTGGTTTCAGCAATGATTGCCCGTTTGGGACTATGAAATTAAGGAAATATTTTTGGAGGTTTAATGTTTTGTTTAATTTTTGTAATGTGACATTAAAAGCCTCAACTAAACCACAGCAAATGCTGATTGCCTGGAGGCTTCCAAAATTGAACATTGTGATTAAACTGCCTTTTCTTTTCCCTTCTTTCCCCTTCTTTTCTTCTTTCCCCTTCTTTTCTTCTTTCCCCTTCTTTTCTTCTTTCCCCTTCTTTTCTTCTTTCCCCTTCTTTTCTTCTTTCCCCTTCTTTTCTTCTTTCCCCTTCTTTTCTTCTTTTCCCTTTTCTTTTCCCAGAACTACATGATGTTTGTGTCCTGGTCAGATCAGAACAACATTCTCATCTACAGGACGTTTGAAGACTTTAAGAATTTCCATGTAAGTGAATTTCAATTCCTGCAATGTCAAGGTTCCTGTCCTGGGGAGAGGAAGGATCCTGGCCGTGTGTCAGCTGTCAGGAATCACTGTTCTTTCCTTCTCCTTGCTTTTAGAAAGAGCTGAAGAGAAAATTCCCCACTGAGAGTGGGTCACTGAGGAGTTTGCCCAGGTTTAAAGGTAAGGACAAATCTCTGATGGACCAACAAACATGAGAATGATCAGGGACAGCCATAACCACGACAGAGACTGAAGTCTGAGAGCCTGACCTTCCTCTGGAACAGATCAGGGGCTCCATCCTCCTCCTGCCGTGGTGCCACCGAGTCACATCCGCTTGTTTGGGTCTAGTACAGACTTAAAATTACCCAGAAAGGCTTTTTAATAGATAGCTGCACTTGGCAAATGAATGCTACACTTCAAATATTGACCTAGAGCTTCTTGAAACTTTACATGTGAAAAAAAAAAAAAAAAAAAGAGAAATTTTGGATGTTTAAAAAATCCTATCAGGAACTGTTAAAAATGTCAGGGAGGCAGGGAGAGTGACTTTGTACAGTTTGGGCTTGGGCAGGAAGGATGGTGGGTGGGGGAATTCAGGGAAATTCAGGGAAAAGATGCTGCTCCCAGGGATCCAGATCCACTGATGTCCTATCCCAACTGTGCCCTTGTTGTTTTGAAGGAATCACTATGCAGCAGAGGAAGGGTGGGAAGATGAACAGGTGCCTGGAGATCCTGAAACTGCTGGAAACCTATTCCCAGGAGCTGCTGAAGACTGATGTGAAAATCTCCCGAGGGGAAGAGGTAAATCAGTTTTTCAAGGCACAGACTCAAGACCTCGATCCCTCGTTCCCTGAAAACAGGTATGAAATATGAGTTGTATGGGTTTTTTTGTTCATGAAACAGAAATGTTATGGGATATGGATAGAATGGAAACACCAGTTACGCTCCAGGGCAGTTCAGCTGGGTGCTTTTAATTTTGTTTCTGATGCCTGAAGCTTTTCTCAGCCAACTGCAGAAATGATTTTACAAAAATCAATACCGAACTCGACCTTTTACCTGAGTTTTTGACGTGTACCTTTACTTTCCAGTGTTGTGATCATGCCATCAGTATTCAGAAGGGAGAAGAGCCCCCAGCCCCTCTCCATCACCCTCCCTCAGGCATCGCAGAGCTACCGCTGCATCGAGGCCTTTGAGACCAAAGACACAAAGAACAAACCCTTCTCAGTGGCTCAGAAGGATATTGTGGAAGTGCTCATCAAGGACATGACTGGTAGGTTTGAGAGGATTCAGTGTTGGGGTAGATGGGCAGATGGACTCATAGCTGGGCTGAGGTAGTGTCAGGGGTTTGGGTGTTTGCACTTGTGTGCTTACCTGGGGGGACAATGAATGTCCCTCCTGTCTCTTGTGTCCTCTACCTAGGGATTATTGTCATGTCTTGACCTGCAGGCTGTTAAAATCTGGGTGTTCTTCCTCTTTGTAGGCTGGTGGCTGGTGGAAAATGCAGACAAGCAGATAGCCTGGTTCCCAGCCTCGTACCTGGAAGAGCTTGATGCCTGTGAGGACATCCAGAATGCCTTCAGCTCAAACGAGGAGGGTAAGTCTGTTTCTCCTTCAAAAAATTAGTTCTGCAAACCCCCACCACTTTACTCACTGCCTGGAGTCCCTGCCTGGACCTCTGACCCTTCTGGTTGGCTCTGCCACTACCTGTGGGACATGGAATCATGGAGTGGCTTGGGTTGGAAGAGAGCTTAAAGCCCATCTGATGTTCCAACCCCAGCACCTTCCACTGTCCCAGGCTGCTCCAAGCCCCATCCCACCTGGCCTTGGACACTTCCAGGCATCCAGGGGCAGCCACAGCTTCTCTGGACAACCTCTTCCGGGGCCTCCACACTCTTAGTGTAAAAATCTTCATTATATCCAACTTCAGTGGGTCAGACTGGGGTCCCTGAGCAAACCAGTCACTCTCAGGGACAGCTGGGCTGGCGTCTCCCAGAGATAGGAGGATTTTCTCCAGAAGGCAAATCCAAGCTCTGCCCCTCTCTGCAGGCAGCCTGTACTTTGTGGTGCAGCCCTACGAGGCTCAGAAGGCAGACGAGCTCTCGCTGAACCAGGGGGTGGTCGTGGAGGTGCTCAGGACATCCCACAACGGCTGGTGGCTGATCCGGTGAGGAGGTTTGCCCCAAGCCCCGGTTCCCTGAAGGAGCTGCTTGCTCTTCCTCCCCGTGTGGGATGCACAGGAGCCCCCCAGGGCTGGCTGTCCTTACCTGGGGACGCTTTCCCTGTCCTCACACCCCTTGTACAAAGTTTCATGAACTTGTACAGCGCGCACCCGCTCCCCAGGCGCTCCCTCCACTCTGCCCGAGCTCTGGCAGGGTTTTCTCAGTGTTCCTTCCCTCCCTGCCCTCAGCTACAACGGCTGCACTGGCTACATGCCCTCGCTGTGCCTCCGGCCCTACCAGAACCCTCACCACAAGCTGCAGAGCATCCTGAGCTGCAGCCTCGGTACCTGCATCCCGCAGCAGCACAGCCGGGCCCGAGGGATGCCCCGGGTGAGTTCCACGCCGCAGCTGGAGCTGCATTTGGACAGCGCCTCGCTGAGCTCGGACAGCAGCAGCAGCAGCAGCAGCAGCAGCGCTGGGGACACCCGGCTGCCGTGCCAAGCCACCTTGTTGCGGTCCCTGCCCGGCAGCGAGCCCCCGCACCTCCATGCGATGGACAGCCACCGCCCCAGCTCCGAGCAGCCCTCCGCAGCCGAGCTGCGCCCCGCTGAGCCCCAGCCCGCTGCGGCTGTGCCCAAGGTGCCGGCCCGGCCCTCGGTGCAGGAGATCCTGCAGCGCTGCAGCACCGTCACCAAGCGCGCCCTGCAGCAGTCGGCTCCCCGGCCGGTCCTGCCGCTGCCCAGCCGCTCCCCAGCCGGTACCGGCGGTCCTGGCCAGGAGGGGACACGGGGACAGCCCTGACAGCCCTGACAGCCTGCTCGCTGCAGTCCCCTGCGAGCCCTGGGCAGCGGCTCCGGAGCCCCAGGGGTTGGGACTGGCCCTTCCTGAGGGACACGCACACATCCATCACCTCTGGGGTGTCAGAACATGGGACTGTCCCTTCCTGAGGGACACACACACATCCATCACCTCTGGGGTGTCAGAACATGGGACTGGCCCTTCCCCAGGGACACACACACATCCATCACCTCTGGAGTGTCAGAACTTGGGACTGTCCCTTCTCATCCATCACCTCTGGGGTGTCAGAATTTGGGACTGGCCCTTCCCCAGGGACACACACACATCCATCACCTCTGGGGTGTCAGAACTTGGGACTGTCCCTTCCCATCCATCACCTCTGGGGTGTCAGAATTTGGGACTGTCCCTTCCCCAGGGACACACACACATCCATCACCTCTGGGGTGTCAGGGCTGGGGACACCAGGATCAGCTGGCACAGCCACGGCCACCGTGGACGGCAAAGGAGTGTCACCAGAGTGCCTCAGTGACCCCTGGCACCCTGAGCGAGTCACAGGACTGGGGAGGGATGGGATGTGTGATGGCAGTTATTAAACCCCCTATTTTATAGATATTTTTGACTTTTGATGTGGGATTGGGGTTTTTTTTATAGGTTAGTGGAGAGGCCATGAAATACAAGGATGGGCTGGATCTGCTGAATGGTTGTGAGAATAAAAAACCTGCTGGGGAGGAACCTCATCCCTGCTCCCTCCATGGCTGTGCAGGCACAGGGACACAACCAGGGCAGTCACAGCTTGTGTCCCACCTGGGGATGGAACAGAGGTCACTTTTATGGACAAAACATTCCTCTTTCCAGGAGACTGGGTAGTTACTGAATCTCACAATTCTAATCCTCAACTCATCTGCTAGAAATGAGTTAGAAAAAGACTTACAGGAAAATAAGACTTTTCTCTACACTGATGGCTTTAATTGTACTTATTCTCCCAGGTATCTGTTAATATTTTTATAAAGAACTTGTGTTTGTTTTGTTTGAATTTTATACCTTTGTATCTGTGAAATAAAATACATGTAAATATCTCTGAAGCCTGCTTGTGTTTTATGCTTTAAAGGTTTGCTATTTGGGGAATTTAAATTGTGCTTCTCTTCCTCTCAGGTGCTGAATTCTGGGTGGGCACAGGTGAGACCCCTGCCTTGGTCCGGGCTGCTTTGCCCAAGCAAGATCCCAGCTCCATGAATCCTTTAAATCCCAACTGCTTGTTGGGATTCTGCCTTTTTTTAATCCCAAACTAACTGCTGTTTGTGAGTCTGAAAATTCAGGGGTGTGAAAACACAAACCCCAGCTTGGCCAAAGAAATGACCTTTACCTTTCAGAAGATAGGATGCTGGACTTGGTTTAGAAATTAAAACATTTATTATAAAATACAGGCACTAAAAATCCAGCTGCCATCCTGGTGGGAAAGAGAAATTGGCAGTGGGGGCAGGGGGGTCACGGAGTGCCCTGGTCCTGCTGGGCCACGTCTGCCAGCCTCATGTTCTGCCACATGAACTCGATGAAGGTGGAAGCCTGGAGCAGGCGGCTCAGCCTCTGGAAGTGGCGCTCTGCAAGGAGGGCAGCGCTCAGGGGCACGGGGGAGGCAGCAGAACCCGGCCCTGCCCTGTGCAGCCAGGCTGGGAATGCCCAGCCTGGAGAAGGGAACGCTCCAGGGAGACCTCCAGGCCTAAAGGGGCTCCAGGAGAGCTGCAGAGGGACTGGGGACAAGGGATGGAGGGACAGGACACAGGGAATGGCTCCCACTGCCAGAGGGCAGCGATGGATGGGATATTGGGAATTAGGAATTGTTCCCTGGGAGGATGGGCAGCCCTGGCACAGGGTGCCCAGAGCAGCTGTGGCTGATCCCTGGAGTGTCCCAGGACAGGCTGGACAGGGCTTGGAGCAGCCTGGGATGGTGGAAGGTGTCCCTGCCATGGCAGGGCTGCATTAACTGACCTGCCCCTTCCACCCCAACCCACTCCATGATCCCGCTCCAGATCAGCACCTCCAGCCCACGCCTGTCCCCACAGGGCCTCACCCGTGTAGGGCAGCAGAGACTCCACAGCAGATTTGATCCCCGAGAACTGCAGGAGGCTGTCGGGTGCCTCGTGCTTCAGGAGGGTCTCCATGACGGCCTGGGCCTCGTGGCAGTTCCGGGAGTTGGTGTTCCACGTCACCAGGAACGCCAGCACGGCCTCTGTGGGGGAAGGAAGCCTGGCCAGGCTGGCACACAGCAGAGCCCACACTGGAGAACATGCCGGGGCTCTCACAGAGCTCAGCTCCCACACAGCGGCACTCCCCATCCTGGAAGTGCCCAAGGCCAGGTCCTGGTCTAATGGAAGGGTCCCAGCCCGTGGCAGAGGCTAAAACTGAACAATCTCCCAACCCAAACCACTCCAGGATTGCAGGATTCTAATTTCAGGTGACAGAAGCAGCCTCTGACCTGAGAGCTTTCAGCACCTCAGTCTGCCACAAACCTTTCTGATCCCTGCGGAGCCGAACAATGTTCTCCTCCAGGTGCCTCCTCCCCTCGGGCTCCCTGAGGATGGCTGGAGAGAGAAATGACAGCAGGGACACCTGGGTGATGTCACTCAGGAAAAACTGAGAATTCCACACTGATTATTGGACTTTTAGCCTTGAACTAGCTGGAAGAGGTGTCCAGGAAAGGAGAGAGGGCAGGAAATGCCTCCAGAGCACACTCTGGACTCACCCTTGACCACAGTCAGCACCGTGTGTGGCCGGTCCAGGGAGATGGCCAGGCCCAGAGCTTTGAGGTACCTTTTCTCGTGGAGAAGGTTAGAAAGCTCTTGCTCTCTGGAAAACAAACCAGGGTGACAGTAAGACCAATCTTTGGGTGCTGGAAAAAACCAAAACTACAGAAAAAGCAGCAGATTTGGCAGTAAGTTAAGAAGTTTGTGATGCTCATCAATAAATGCACTCCCTCCAATATTGGGATCAGGTGGAGCTGGATGGCTCCAGGTGTGGACAGTTCCACTGCACAGTTTGCATTTCACAGCTCTCTATGGCACAAGATCAACTCACTTCATAATCTGCTCCTCCTGTTTAGCTTGTGCTTCTTTCTCCTCAATTTCAGTCACATCCTATTAAAAAAAAACCAGGATAAAACTTTTATCAAATCCTGCTTTGATACAGAAGGGTTTTGATTTAGCCATCAAGTGATGTGCAGACCAGTTTCTGCAGCAAAATCTCAAGGTCAAGTAATTTAAATGATAAATTACAATATATATCATTATAATAATGATATATATAATATATCATTATAATAATGGTAAATGATGAATCCAGAAACTTCCAACTTCCCTCCAAAGCTCCAGTGCTGGGGCCATCTGCTGCTCTGGGGACATACAGGATGGCCAAAAAATACCCCCAAACCCCAAGATCAGCCTTGCTGACCTAATTTCAAACTGCAGACACAGAGAGCACATGAAAAACAAGCCACTGAGATGCTGAGCTCTCCAATTTCTCCAATTATTATCCCAGGGAGGAGCCACCCCCGTGCTGTACCTGCCACAGGGTGATGCAGGAGTCACTGGAGGCTGTCACCACCATGTCATCTTTCTTGTTGGAGTGAAGGCCCCAGATTTTATCTTCATGACCATCTAATGTTTTCACACACTCGTTTGTTTTAATTGTCCAGAGTTTCAAGAGGCCATCAGATCCACTTTTGGAAGAGAAACACAACAGAAAGAATCACTGGACAGATCCATTCTTGCTCTGTCCCACCTCAAATATCAGATGGACTTGTCCCATCCCAACTCCTTCCAAATAGGAGCAGAATTAACCAAAAATTTGAGGGCAAGATGCACCCTCAGCTTTGTCTACTGAGTTTGTCCCAACTCAGCAATGCCACAGCAGCCACATGGGACACCTGGAGAGGAGGAAGATTAAAATAACCTCTACAGAAAGTCTGGCCTAAGCATGGCATCTTCCTATAAATGTTTCCAAAGATTCTTTGGACACAAGAGTCTTTCCTCTTGGTGCTGCTGATGAGCTCAGATATTCCCTTGACCCTGGAACCTCCCCAGAGCCCTGGGCAGGCACAAACCTGCTGAGCAGCTGAGCCCCTCGGCTCACAAAGATGATCTTCAGCACTGAGGCATCGTGGCCTTCAAAGGTCTGCAAAAACAGAAAGGAAGCTCAGCAGTACCTTTGGAGAGACCCCAAAGGATCCCATTTACTCGCCAAGCCCAAAGAAAGAAGCTCCAAGTTTTGGAAGGATCCTTAAGGAACCCCAAGGTGTCACCAGAGCAGGAAGCAAAGTTCTCATCACCTTCAGACAGCTGAAGTCCCGAAGCCCCCAGAGCTTCAGGGTCCCATCAGCCGAGGAGGTGGCCAGGACCTGATCCACAGGGGAGAACTGCACACACCAGATGCCACGTTTGTGCCCAGAGAAAACCCCCAGGAGGGAGCAGTCGGAGCAGGACCAGAGCTTGGCCAGCCGGTCCTGCGAGCCCGTGGCCAGCAGTTTGTCGTTGGGGGACACGGCCACGCTGTTGATGTCCTGGGGAAGCCACAAGAGGAGGAGGAAGAGGGTCAGGCCTCGGCTCTGGCTGTGGGACACAGAACAAACTGCAGGCAGCAGGGAGGCTGAAGCACTGAGAGCTCAGGTGGAGCTGTACCTTGTCATGGCCCCTCTCAGTCACCCTGGCATGGAGGGGCTCTGGACTGGAGATCAAGGCTGCTTTTGCTTTGGAAGTGAGGGATTCCGGGATGTTCCAGATCTTGATGGTGCAGTCCTGGCTGCTGGTCACTACAAAGCTTTCCTTCAGCCTGAGAGGAATTAAACCACCAAGGGCAGGGAAACGACTCTGTGCTGTCTCCTCCCTGACTGGGATCTCCACACTCAGCCACTGCTGGGGTGTGGAAATGTGGCTTCATGGCTTTCCAAGCTCTTTCATTTCAGAGGGACTCCTCCATCCCCGGGAGTACCCAAGGCCAGGCTGGACAGCGGAGGGGTCCCTGCCCATGGCAGGGGGTGGCACTGGATGACATTTAGGGCTCCTTCCAACCCAAACCATCCCATGATCCCTTCACCCTCGGGCACCAGGACACGCTGGGAGCAGGGATGAGCAGCAGCACAGCTGGGAGGGGGACAGCACCCACCAGGACGTTCCCTCCCCTCCCTCAGCCTGTGTTACCTGGAGCAGGCGACGGCGCCCACGCCGTGGGCATGGCCCAGGCCCTGGGCCACGCAGGTGACCCTGCCAGCCTTGCCCATGCGCCACACCCGCATGCTCCTGTCCTGGGGGAGGACAGAAATGCCTCAGTTCTCTGGGGAGGCAGCAGCTTTCACCACAGCCCTGAGCCCGACTGGTCCCTGCTGCTCCTGCCTGAGCCTTCATCTCCATCACGGCAAGATCAGCCCCCACTCTGGGGCTCCAGCATGGAGGTTTGGTTCTGGTGGGATCAGAGCTGCTCTGTCAGGGCTCTTGGCACCTTTTCCCTCATCAGTCTCACAATAACAACTTTTCTGAACTCCAACACCAGACCAGGATGTTTGGAGAAGGAAACAGCTCCTTCAGGCCAATAAAATACAACCAATTTTTCCAGAGATAATGTTAAATAGGGAGAGTGGGAGAACCTATTTGGGGCATGCAGCAGACAAGGATTGTATGAACAAAAAGCCCTTGCTGGAGTTCCAAAAATAACATAATTTTGCCCACAAGGATCACTAGGAATGAAGAGTTTCATTAAATGGAGAACAGTGACACACCTTGGCACAGGTGACAAACATCAGGCCTTTCCTGAAGACATCCAAAGCCAGGATTGTTTCTAAACAGAAGAAATAAAAGCTGGTGGGTGCAGAGCAATGCTGAGATGGGACAACAGAAAGAAATGAGTTAATGAGCCCAGTGCTTAATGAGCCCAGTTAATGAACCAGGGGAGAGGTCTGGGACACAACTGGTCCCTACGGACTGAGCCTGTCACACACTGCACCTTCAGCTCCACTTTAAACTGACCTCAGGGACAGGGACAATGGGACACATCCTCTCTGCACACAACCCCCAAACCTGCTGT